TTTATTTTTGTTCCTCGTGTAAGCTGTGAGTTATTCTATCGTTTAGATTTGTATCATTAGTGTGATTTTCGTCAAATTATGGATATTATTACATTCTTGGAATTACCGTCTTCAGAATAAGATGCTATCTAATATTTTCAATAATTTGAACGCGAAATTGTGTGAAGAAGTTAGACAGTCATCAAATGAAGTTAGACAGGATGACGAAATGGAGATGATTTCGTAGCACTTGTTACAAAAACTTTTCTATAAGGAAAGGAAAATGGTTAGAGGGGGTCGAGAATTTCTTTTTTAGCGGCTTTAAAATCCATTTATGGGTGGTTTCATAATTTAACAACACAGTGGGACAAAGGGCAGCTGGAACTATCCCAGCCAACTATGGTAACGTGGAACAAATTTTTAAGAGAGGTTTATGCCCATAACATGTTATACAGGTCAAGTAAAAAAAAAATGGAGAGCCTGGCAAAGTCGTTGAAGTACACGAGAGTCTTTTTCCTAAAAGAAAAAAAATCATGTAGAAAGAGTTCTACCTGATAATGGATGTTTGGCGGAGTTTGCCGAGAAACAGATGAGTGTTTTATCGTCAAAATAAACAACAGAAAGGCAACAACTTTATCTCAAGGTATTAAAAACAATATACAAGAGGGAAACACCATTTATTCTGACTGTTTGAAAGGATACAACACCCAACAACTGAATGAAGCAATGAATATAATACAATAAATATGAATACGAAGATAGGAATTATCAGTACCTTATCGGAATTATCAGTATTCAGGTTATAAACATTGGCAGATAGCAGGCGGTCCCGCCAGGCTATTTAAGAAGTACCATTAACCGAAACGGAATTTTATTCTAACAATATAATGCTCGTCCTCACACTTCCCGTCGAACCAAAGAAAAGTTTCAAAGAACTTCATGGGTTCGAACTCCTGCCTCATCCACCATATAGTCCAGACCTCGCACCATCGGATTACTACTTATTTAGATCCATAGCCCATTTTCTTCAAGGGAAAAAATTTGATAATTTTGTGGATGTTGAAACTGCGATCCAAGAGTTCTTTGACAGCCATCTTAAAGAATATTATAAGCGTGGAATCGAGCAATTGGCTAGCAGATGACTAATGACGGTAGATAACAGTGGAATATACTTTGAATTATTGAAGGAAGTTCGGCTGTTCTACATATCATGGATGAAAAATATTCAAAGCGTAGTCATTATAAGGTTTTTATTAGTGCCGACGTTTCAACCCACGTGGTCATCATCAGTGTTCGAACCACGCCCTGATGATGAATATTTACCACCCATGACTATACTTTGAGTATTAATTGCATTTCATATCAAAGAAATAATAATACAAATATTTGGTTGATAAACGGTTTTTTTTTTATATACACCCTATTGTTAATACTATTCTTTTATTAAAAACTTTTGACATTAAACAAGTTTAAAAAAAAAACAAGGACTCCACCTGGACAAACGACTAACTTGGAATCCTCATACTAGACTGAAACGACAAGAAACCGCTCGACGTTTCCGATTACTTCAGCACTTACTAAACAAACGCTCTAAACTTCCCATTAATTACAAAAGACTCATATACTTGACTATAATAAGACCTATTTGGACTTACGGAGTTGAGCAATGGGGCTCCACTAAACCATCGAATTCCTCTCGCATCCAATCCTTACAATCCAAAATCCTTCGTAAAATCCTCAATGCTCCTTACTTTGTCACTAATAAAATTATCCATAAAGATCTTAATGTTCCTTATGTTTCAGATCTGGCCCAATCCAGACACTTATCCTTCCATAATAAACTTCAGAATCATCCCAACCCTCTCGTTTCTAACCTTGCTTCCTCTTCAATTCCTGATAACCCTCCGAGGCGTCTGAAAAGAAGATGGCCCCGTGATCTCCTAATGTAGTCATATCATTAGAGTGCTACCATTGGGTAGTTACTCAGCAAGTGTATTCATGTCATTATATCAATTATGTCCAAATTTACTTGATGTATTTATGTAATACAGTTGTAAATGTCATAGAGAAATTAAAAAAAAAAAGTGATTTTTCTACAGGAGTTGCTGAGCGTGTTCTTAGAAAGAGGTCCACCACATGTCTCATTCAAAGTTGACGGATTCTTCGTTTTGGATCGATCCCTTTTCTGCCGAGTAAGTAAAAAAAAACCTTTCATCTTTTTTATGGCAGAAATGGGAATTTTCAAACAAATGGAAAATAAATCAAAATTATAGACGGCACAAAATATTTTTTAAAACAATTAATTACTAAGTTTTAAATGAGTAACTTGTATTTCATGCTTTTTCAATCTCTTCCAAAGTCAAAGAAAGAGTAAAAAAAAAAAAAATCTTTAAGAAATGCAAGGTGTCTAGTGACAAAATGTTGTCAGTAGGTATATTTTGTAGAACAAACATTTAAAAAATAATAATAAGTAAAATCAATAACAATTATTCTACATGAATAAATAAAATATCTAATCTATAATCAATTCAAAAAATAGGATAAGTCGATTAGATGACTAAGCTAGAGGCTGTGTTCTATTTTGGAAATATATCCACATTGTTACAACTAACAGAAAAAATGAAGGAAGGAGATGGCCGAGGGTGGCGATCATGAATAGGCTAAATAGTGGCAAAACTATTTTATTACAAGCCAACATTTCGACCTGACTTTGCAGGTCTTCTTCAGGGCTAGAAAGGACAAGATACAAAAAATATAGAGAATTGTGGAGGTTACATAATATTTTTTAAAAAAATTATGAACAATATGAATAAGCTTATTAAAATTATAAACAATAAGTACATTAAAATATAAACAGAGTATTCTAAGTAACAAGATCCTAAACTGAAGTAAATAGACGGTGACAATTGTTGTAGTGTAATATATAATATATGGAATTGTAAATATACTTCTACAGATCTACAGGAGATATTGAAAGAAAAGGAAAAAGGATTAATAAAATAGTTTTGCCACTATTTAGTCTATTTATGACCGCCCCCCCCCCCCGGACCATCTCCTTCCTTTATAGTGCAACGGTCAACTATTCAATATAACAGAAAAAATGTATTTGTTTACGAAAATGTACAATAATTTATTTATTTTTTAAAATAAATTCATCAAGGCTAGAACTCTTATGAGTCTTCAACTGGAGCTTTAGAGGTTCGAGGTTCGTTGTTTTTACAAGACTAGTGACAACATACCTAGGATTTTAAGATTTCTTCATATACACCCTTCCATTTTTTTATAAGTTTATTTTTATATAGAGTATTATATTGTTCGTTTTACAATAATTAAGTTAATTATTACTCATAATTTCTATACATAATACAAAATTTCTATACATTTTTTTGGGGTCCATCGCCCCCTCAACCAGAACGGAAAGTCTGCGTCTATTTCAATGTCATGTATTCCTTTTTGTTTAGATGTTGTCTGCAGCTGTTACTTGGGTCTTCATCATAATCCAGTTTATAATGCGTGATAGATGCGGACTTAAGCATGTCATTCCAATTTAGACAGAAGAGAACTTGTTCCTTAGAGGCTGTCGGATGATGCAGATAGTGAATGGTCAGAAAAATAACATGAATTCTAACAAATAATATCCATGTTAATACGTTTATAAACCCATAAAATTTTATTGTAATGACATTTGTGGTTGTTGTTTTTTTGTTCTCATCCTTTCCCTCTCCTTTTCTGCTGTATGGGGTATTGGGTTTTTCCCAGACCAAGGAAGAAGGCTCTACCAGGTGTGTGCATCTCTCCCTCCTGGCAATGGTACATGAACCTCCTCCATCAATTATTGTTATTGATCAATTATTATATTGTTCTCCTCTTCATAATAACATGAGAAATGAAATTACCGTAGATCATATACAATTACACTTTTTTTTGTCTATCCCTTCCTCGCCTTATAAGTTATACGTGGATTTGCCCGGGCTAGGGTAGAGAGCAGAGAACTATGTCAGAGTTAAAAGCCTCCCCAACAACGGGACGCGAACTTGTAATTATTTTATATCTTGAAGACTTCGGTTTATCAACCATGGGGCATGTGTGTTTTGCACCCGCTCGGCCACCCCGCCCCTTATACAGTTGCACTTGCTAAGGTTTGTTTTATGTATTGCTTTTTTTATTATTATTATTCGTGCGACTCCCTTCCTCGCCTTTGAGGCTATACAGGGTTTTCCCGGACCTGAAGCCCTCCCCCCCCCCCCAAAATGGTAAAATATAACCATGTTTCACAGAAAAAATGTTTAAAATTATCTCTTTAAATATTCCTCTTCGTGTAAGAACATTTAATAGGACTTCAAGAACCACTTAAACACTATTTCATATAGGTAGTTATTTTTTTTTCTTTTGTTTTTCAAATTAATTATCGTATCATGTATGAAAACAAAAATCTTTCGGGCTGTAGCCCCTCCTCCAAAATTAAATCCTGGATCCGCTAGTGGGCAGAACAAAGGAATGAAAATTTTTGGAGAATGGCTGAACCATTTAGAGTTAGTGGATGGTCAAGTCCTAATAGTTAAAAATAAAGAACGATGGCAAAACAATTAATAATGGCAGGAGTAATAATAAGGCTCAAAATAAATTAAAGGAAGAGCAAGTATATAACAGTGAATGTTGATGGAGATATAAAAATAGGCCAGCGCCATATAGAGAAAGTAGAAACATTTCGATTCTTGAACACCTTATCTCAGGAGAAATTGAAGAAACAAGCAGCCTATGTACCCAGGGATGTCTCTCCAAGTTTAAGGATATATATATATATATATATAGATCCTCGGTGAGCTCAGAGGTCAAGAGAAAACTTTGGATGAGCATAGTAATACCTGTCATGATATACGGTTGTGAAACATGGGTAATTGACCAGAAGACTTGTCACAAATTGAGGATAACCGTCAGAGGAATGGAAGGATATCTTCTCGGAATAACACAACGGGATAAAAAAGCAAATAAATGGATCAAAGCTAAGACTAACCTTCCAGATATTGTGGGAAAAGTGCACATCAGAAAGTGGACCAGGATCGGACATGTCATCAGAAGGAATCCAAGGTATATGTGAGGAAGAGAGGACGCCCGCCGACAGACTGGTACAAGCAGATGAAGAAGACCTGCGGAGGAGCAGCCTGGAAGAGAAGAGTAGCATTGGAGAGGAAAGAATGGAAACGGATGGGACAGGTTCATTACCTAGTTTGATTGCAAAAGAGCAAGAACAAAAAAGTCGAACTCAAAACCTCAACTAAAATGTTGATTTTGTACATATGAGAATATTAAGTATAAATCAAAATGTACAGATATTGTATATATGTATATATATATATATATTTTATATATATATATATATATATATATATATATATATATATAAATGTTTTTACATTATATGTACAAATAAAATGAAGGTACTTCTTGTCTAGGGGGCCGGACTGAAACCTCACTTCTTATCTATCTTATCTAAAGTCACGTCACATAACATCCTCCTTCTTACCCTGCCAAACCTTTGAGTTATTGCATTGTTTAGTTTTCAATTATTCTCTTATTACGTTCACTTATTAAATTCTTTACTTTTGGCCCGTTTGTGTTTATTTTTCATTATTTTTAATGTTTGGTCCGTTTGTGTTTATTTTACTTTTTTTTTAGTTTTTAGCCCCTTTGTGTTTATTTTTCATTTTATTTTCGTCATATTATGGATCTTCTTAGAATATGGGATTTGCCGCCTTCAGAAGAACAGGCAATTCAATATTTGGGTACTTGCCGACGTGAAATTGTGTGAACGAGGTCATCGAATGAAGTTAACCAGGAAAGCCAAATGGAGATGCTTTCGTAGGACTTATGACACAAAACTTTCAATAAGGAAAGGAACATGGTTGGAGGGCTCGAGGATTTCGTTTTTAAAAGCTTTAAAATTGATTTATGGGTGGTCCCATAGCTTGACAACGATGAAGTGGGGCAAAGAGCAGCTGAAACTATCCTACGGAGCAATGGTAACGTGGAACAAATGTCTAAGAGAGGTTTGTGCCCATGACATGTTATACAGGCCAAGAAAAAAAATTGGAGGACCTGGCAAAGTGGTTGAAGTAGACGAAAGTCTTTTTTCTACGAAGACATGAAGTAGGAGAAGGCTTATCACTGCGTTATGGGAGTTATCAGTGTTCAGGTTATAAACATTGGCAGATAGCAGTCAGTAGCGGCCCCCTAGACAAGAAGTACCCAAATAAAGATTATTATACTGTTCAGCGATCAAATGACAAATGAATAAGAAAATAAAATAATGCAACGTGTCATGAGATAGAGAAATCAATTCCTCGCTAAATATAATGGATAAAGGAAATAAAAATTAATTTAAAATTTCATTGACGTTTGGAACCAACATGTTCACAAATTTCAATACGCTGTATTATCGCTAGTAATTGTCCGATTTCGAAGATTTTTGTCCTTATGTGGAGAATTTAGTAATTTTTATAAAATCATGGACAAGAGCAAGGGAAAAGTATGTCATTTTTGAGTTTTTCGCAAAATAAAGTTTCTTTTCTTTCATAACTTTTTTGCCTGAATTTTCGCGATTACTGGACTATTTTTTCCGCCTGAAGGAGAAGGAAACCTTCAAAATGGGAGGCTCAATCTTGAGATTTGATGAAGAATTAATGATGATATAACTTAGCAACAAAAACACACTTATGAAAAACAAAATAAACTGTTCCTTTCTTGATCATAGGGACCTCAAGTCGGCGAAATGAGACATGTATTCCATGACAGTACTACAATTAACGTAAGGGTGTGTGGATGCGAACCCTATGCCTTGCGTTATCTCGAAAATAGTATGTTTTGGGGCTTAAGAACGCAGGGTCCGATATTTACGCAGGAACTCTCTGAGTCTTGGACTATGCATACAAGCATTCAAAGCCCAATATGTCCAGTATCGATCTACAGACTTACTCTCGTTCCAGTATTGAAGCCTAACAAAATGTTTGTATGACTTTTTTTTTTGAAACCAGAAACACTAAGACCAGCATTGGAAAACTGACTCTTAGCGTCACCCTCAACAGGCCTAAAAAACTCAAGGCCCAGCAAAACAATGGAGAATCGGAAACAGATCCGATCAACAAAAAAGTCATACAAACATTTTGTTAGGCTTCAATACTGGAGTAAGTCTGTAGATCGATACTGGACATATTGAGCTTTGAATGTTTGTATGCATAGTCCAAGACTCAGATAGTTCCTGCATAAATATCGGACCCTGCGTAAATATTAAGCCCCAAAACATACTATTTTCGAGATAACGCAAGACATAGGGTTCGCATCCACACATCCTTATGTTTATTGTAGTACTGTCATGGAATACATGTCTCATTTCGCGGACTTGAGGTCCCTATGATCAAGAAAGGAACAGTTTATTTTGTTTTTCATAAGTGTGTTTTTGTTGCTAAGTCATATCACCATTAATTCTTCATCAAATCTCAAGACTTTTATTTTTGAAAGAAAAACAAAAGCAGAGAGTAAGATTTGCAAACCCACCATGAAATTCTGAATCCAACAATACCCTACCCATTCATGGTATTTGAGGATGACAGGAGCTTACATTGGGTTGGCAAATAATCCCTTTGGATTTTCTGTTTATTTTTATATTACTATGATACACTTCTTATCTGATGAGTTAATCCCTAAGGTGGATTGTTTATCCTGTTTGTAATATGTCAACAACTATATCTGTTAACTCTTGTTGAAACTAGCTTAGTATTATGTTTGCTATTGTACTGTGATTATGGAAGAAAATATTCATTATCGACACATTTTGTTGTATTATTTTTAAAAAAATAAGCGTGCTGCAGAAACACAGCAGAACTTGCAGTGCTCATGGAGATGATGCCTTGACCGAACAAACCTGTCAAAAGTGGTTTGCCAAAATTCATTCAGGAAATTTTGACGTAAATGCTCTACGGTCTGGTCGCTTACATGAAATAGAAGTGAGCAATGTTAAGGCCAATGTTGATCAAAATCCCACCTAATCAGTACAAAAGATAGCTGTGGTCCTAAATGTGTCCCACACTATAAAACCATTTGCACAAACTCTGCTATGTTTCCAGGCTTAATGTTTGGGTTCTTCACTCACTAAGAGAAGTCAACTTGGCAACATGCATTTCTGTTAGTGATTCACTAGAAAAACAGCAACAAAACGACCCATTTTTGAAAAGGTTGATAACAGGAGATGAAAAATGGATAATTTACGATAATATAGTCTGTAGAAAATCTTGAGTGCCTAGTAGAGAGGCTCCTAGACGAATGTAAAAACCCAGATTGCATCCAAAGAAGATGCTTTCCATATGGTGGGATTTCAAGGGTGTTATTTTCTATGAGGTAATGCTATCAAGACAAACAATTGATTCAACTCTATACTGCTCACAATTAACAAAATTGGATCAATAAATTAAAAATAAACGCCCAGAATTGGGAAATAAGAAGTGTGTTGTGTTCCACTAAAACAACGCTAGGCCCCACACCTCATTGGTCACTAGTAATAAATAATTGAGCCTTGGATGGAACCTTTTGCCCCACCCTCCCTATTCATCAGACCTAGCTCCAAATTACTACTATTTATTCCTGTCTCTGCAGAACTCCATGAATGGAAAGAAATTCCAAAAGGATGAGGACATCAAAAACCACTTGGATCAGTTTTTAACAATAAATTCCAGACATTCTATGAACATGGCATTATGCAATTAGTGGAAAGATGAGAAAAAGACATATTAAATAATGGTCAATATATTGTAGATTAAGTTTTATTTTACCCTGAAAAACTGAAAGGACTTATTTGTCAACACTAGTATATTTGGTATTTGGTACAAAATTGATTTTGTTGTAATAATAGATGTGGGGATAAGTATATGAGAGATGTAAAATTTAACTTACTGTTGCCAAATAAGACCATATATGAACAGAGAGGCTACTTTATAGTATGATAGGAATCATAAAACAGAAGATAAAGAATTATAAATATATTTCTAAAAATTATTCATAACAATATAATAATAATAAACATAATCTCATTTATGATACAAATTATACAAAGAAAACATTTACACATCCATCATTGGGGATCTGTTTCCGATTCTCCATTGTTTTGTTGGACCTTGGGTTTTTTAGGCCTGTTGAGGGCGACCCTGAGAGTCAGTTTTCCAATGCTGGTCTTAGTGTTTCTGGTTTCTATCAGCTCATGGAAGCTTTCCTTCAATATCTGGCACAACTTCCAGTATTGAATATCGTCATCGACATCGGTAACAAATGTTGGGAAATCGAAGACTGTCCGTGTCCTCGTTAGGTGTCTGAACAGATCTATGCTGTTATGAGAGTTATCGTTAGAACTGCTCGCCCTCGGTACCACATGCCTGTTAGTTCCTCTCATTCCTCTCATGCCCTTCCTCCTTCCTCTTCCTCTTCCAGAGCTCGAGGAGCTACTCGGGGGAGTATTAGAGGCGGGAGCGATGCGGAAGGTAACTGGAGTAGTCAGCGGCAACCTTACAAAACAATATGAATATAATTAGTAATAATAGATATTATTCTGTACATATAATAAGTTATAAATTATAATGTTATTAAGGATGATAAAGACAGAATTTGCAGTCTACATGGCTACTGTTAGTACAAAAGGTCGCAAGTCAAAATTTTCCATTGTTATTCTATTTGTGCTAAAGATGACATTTTGTAGTCTGCAACTGCTATAAGTAGTCAGCTACCATGGAAAATAGCAGATGGCAATAGAATATGAAATTATACTAATAAAGCATAAAGAAATAATCTCTCTTCTAAAACACTCAATTTTAACATACAACCTTTCGAACAGTAGCCTTAATGTATATTAAAAAAAAAAAAAAAAAAAAAAGCCTGTACCACTACAACCCATGAAGGGTCTGGGATTCAGTACTATTTAGGGAAAGCACTGTTTCTAGGTCAACGGTTGTGCAAGGAGGTGACTTGACCGAGATCACGCTCAACTGCCAGGCTCACCCCTTAATCAATTATTTAATTAAGGGTACCCACCTTATAGAGGCTGGGTGTGCCCCAGGAGGGACTTCTGATCCAAGGTCGCCCCACGGCCAATGAAACAGATAAATAAATTTTCTGCCATGAGCCGGGGTTCGAACTCGAGACCTTTGCATTGGAAGCTCAGTGCCCTACCACTGAGCTACCCCGCTCCCAATGTATATTAACCTTGATGATATTTTGATCAAGGTATGGGGTGGTTAGGATCATCATCATAGTTGAAAATTTAAATATATATATACATAGATAGATAGATAGATAGAAAGTAAAGTTTATTCTGGGACGAGGTCCCTTATGAATAACAGTTATGAACAAAAAATAAAAACTACATATGGCCAAAAATTAATTATAAGATATAAACAGTGCATAAATAAGATAAGATAAATAGATGAAAGTACATATAAAATAATAGTGATACAAAGAATAGTACATCAGGAAAAAAAAAATATATTGTAAGTTTGTTGAAAAAAGTCATTAAATGGTGAATGATTAATATTAAATAATTAAGAAACTCATGGGTGATAAATATTCAGGATGCAGTCATTATAAAGATTTTATTGGTGCCAACATTTCGACCCAAACATGTGGGTCTTCATCAGGGCGTGTTTCGAGCACTGAAGATATTCAAGTACTCGAATTCAAATTTCAAAAATTCAAGTGAACTACAGGAAACTCGAAGAACAATTGATTTGTGTGAAAGTTATTATACCCGATCCTCGGGTTGGGGCGAGTAGTGAAAACAGATATCAAATAAGATCTAAAAAATAAAATTTAATCCGCACCAGCTATGAGACTCTCAGCCCATTCCACCACAGAAATTCCCAGAGGCATCAACTAGAACAGACTGAATGGCCCTCTCAGTTAAGTAAGATGTCTATGCCAGCATAAAAGTGTGAGTTTATTTTACACAATTCATATAACCTACCACTTAGTCAAAATACAGTCCACTGACAAAATAAGTCAAATGTTGCCTATGCTGCACTCATTAGAGTTATTTGGCTTTATTTTAATTAAATTTGGAAAGTAGCCTAAACAACAAGAATAACAAGAAATTCAAAGAATTTTTTCTTTGTAGAATCAAAAATTGTGTACGTCTAACAATGTTTGATATATAAAAGAGTTTGTCTCATTTTAAGTGCACTCACTATTTTTTGTTTTCTTTTTCATTGAAAAATAAGGTCAAAATTCACAAAAACGTTCTTAAAAGTTCAGCTCGTCAACAATGTACTTAGTGACTTATTGCAATAAATTAAATATCTATATAAATAAAAACAAATAAGTACATAAATTGTACAAAAAAATTAACTACATGAATAATACAAATATAAATCAAATAAATAAGAAGTACGCCTAAAAGAACCATGCTAAGAATAAATGAATTTTAAGAATTATAAAAAATAAGTTCAAACATGTAATGTATATTATGTGGTAAGATTTAGTGAATAAAAAGAATATGAATAAGTACGGAGAGCAACAAATGGAAAAAGTTTTTAGTGTATGTCATATTTTATTTTAGTATTAGGAGCGTAGGAGGTTACAGGATCTCTCCAATTAGCTCTATAATTAGCACTGATTGCACAGCTGTTCATTCAATTACATATTTCTTGAGCTCATGTAATCTCCTACTTTCCTAATACAAAATAAAGATTTTACACTAAAAATTTGTAAAGGAAATGGTATTTATTCACCTGGAGGTGTTAATTGGATTTTACCTAGATGACAGCAGTTATTTATTTATCAAAACATTTCCCCTTGATTACAATATATAAATGATTATATTATAATATATATGCCGAAATTAGTATATTGTAATATAATAATAATTATTATCAAATAGAAAAGGAAGCATAATATAACGAACAATCAAAATATTGGATATAAACAGCTTAAATTATTGTTGGGCTTATATGAAGCTGGACAAGTTGAATATATATTATGGTTACAAATTGACAATTAAAGCATGATGTATAATACAGATTTTTAAAGAAAAATTAAAATTTTGTCCGAACTGTGGTTTCGTTCAGTTTATTTTATGTTGATAAAAAATAATACAATCTGAACTACATAATATATGTCAATTAAAGTCATACAATTTGAGCAACTAGTAGTATAATTAAATAAACAGTTGTATAATTTGCAAAATGGAGGTTGGTCCGCCATCAGGAATACAGGGGGTAACTCCCTTCCTCCCCCTGGTATTTTAATAAGTATATAAACAGTTAGCAATTATATATTTCTTTATTCGTATTTTTTTTTTTCTAGGCATACTATTATGTTCCTAATGCTATTATCGTATTTGTACTTTCCATATTTTTATCTTGATTTATTTATCATATTTCTATCTTTATATATATATATATATCTTCTATTGCTGAAGTACTTTTTATTACTTTCACTTACGTACATATGTAATATATAGTAAGGGTAAGTATTGCGATCGTGAAAATTTTGGAATCTCAGTTTTCAACGAAAATACATGTTTTGAGGTCCCCTGAGTTCAAATAACCAAGTGTCGCAAAATGGTCTGTGTGTGTTAACAGTCTAGCTCATAAACGAAAAGTAGTACGAAACTGATATTAAGTCTTTAAGGTTTGTATATGGGCCGGATGTGACAGCAACTTTTTCATTAAAATCGGCTAACCGGAAGTGCCACTTTATATGAACGCTGAAACACATTTTTACAATTTTCTCAAAAACGACTCAAACAATTTTGATCAAACTCGGTGTATCATTGTATAATTAAGTGGTATTTAATATCATTTAGGTCTTATCCCCGTTGATGTCACTTTACAGGGCTTAAATGCCTAATGTTCATATATGTCTTCCTCTAAAGTACATGGAATTTAAAAGTTTATGGAATTTCCTAAAAAAATCGTTAAAATTGGACAATTAAGAGGAAAGATATGGTCTCTAGTTATTTTCCCTGAAGAGGTGAAAATTTGGATAAATTTAAAATATATTTTTTTAATTGTTGAGACTAAAAAAAAATTTTTTCTACAGATATTTAATAAATTGTCTTTCCTAATAGCATCTTTTATAAGAAAGTGGTACCTAAATTTACACTTTTATTCTCAGTTCTATATTTCAACACTGCAATCACCACTTCTGGAATCAACTTACTCATTGTCTGCATAGATAACTTTTTCAACTAAAAATATCACTAAAATGACATCACTCAAAAATGTTGAAATTGGAGTTAGTCATTCTGTGGTTTATAAAATCAGATATAGTGAATTGATTTTTATTGCCTGTCTTCCATATATTAAATAGACATTTTGTAATTATAATGGTCTTAATGACTTGTTATCTGTAAGCTTTAAGCGTTAGCTCCGTTTAAAATACACTTCAACAAATTTTATAATAGTCCAGCATTGTCAGAAAATAATTTCTATTCAAAGTAGATCGGTAAGTGACAGTTGTGTGTTGCACGCACCAGATTTTTTTTTTTTAATTTTCAGCCCTGATGATTTACATGCTTGTCTCGAAATGTCAGGAAGCCTAGTAAACCAAATCTAGACTACAAGTCCAGACTATTTATCTTTATCGTAATTTTAAAGTAACAGTCAACAGAATATCCATCTCTATATAATATTATTGTCATTATTTAATTATATCTATTGTGTAAACAATACTTGGGCAAAAGATTACAGAATGTCGAGTTTAGAAACTGCCTTACTTCTAAAAGGGAAAGATATTTATAGAACTTACTAATTTAATCTTAAATTATATAATTAGTAAGCCAAATAAAATATAAGGAGAGATGGCAGCACTATCAATGAGAAAGATAATGACTACGCAGTTATGAGATTTAAGTTCAAATTTGACTGGGGGAAAATAAATGTCAGATTAGCAAGATTATAAATTTTGAGAGCTAATTTTTTTTTTTTTTTTGAGATGTGAAAATAAAAAATCAGAGGTGGATCAGGCTGGTAAAGGAGGCTAAATATCTACAAGATCTCTAATGCCACAATTGAGAAGAAAGAAAAAAAAAAAAGGAAGAAAATAAACAAAAAAAAACTATAGCAGGACTCACTTTATCTGTTTCAGAATCTCCTGTATAGTCTCCGCGCTGAAAAGATTCTGGACACCAGCCGCTGTGATACCACCTTTAAAATGAATTTAACACAACTAACAATCAATTCCACGCTTACTCAATAGAAATAAATGGATGTTTACAAAATCTAGTTAACATCTATTTTTACTTATATTGTATGTCTGACATATGGATAGGACATTCTTTATCAAAAAACTGAATTAGGTTCAAACTAAAAACATGTTTAAAGTCTCAAATGTTGTAGCAAGAAACTTGATATGAAAAGAGAAGAAAAAATGTATATACATGTTATGTCTGAACATGATTGCTAAGGGATTACTTTATAAAAAAAAATAATAATATTAATATAATAACCAACTGGTGGAAACATAAAAGCTTTCAGGTAGTTTTGAATGATTTGGCCAATTATAATGAAACTTAGAACACATGTTTCTTATAAGCCTAATGATGGCTCTTTAATATTATAAATTTACAGAATAAACTATTATATATATACATAAAATAAATACCTAGATTAGTGGTATCCTGAAGAACTATTTCCTGAGGCTGAATGGCTTCTTTAGGAGCACTTTCTGAAATTGATAAAAGAAATTAAAAAAAAAAAACATTGATACCAGCAGGGGCTATTATTGAAATAAATAGTAATTAATAATTAGTAATAAATTAATAGCAACTGACAAATAATAATAATTATAATCAGAGGGTAATCAGGAATGTAAATATTTTGTTTTAGTTTATATTAGGTTGTCCCACAAGTTTCTTAAAATCACTCCAATATGTTCATGTAAGTGTAAATGTCATGTTTCAGACTTTATATGTAATTATATTATGTGATATTACATACATTTTATATGTGCACCATCCTGTAAGAATGGGAAGTAAATATAACTAGTAAATTCTTTTTATTTTTCAATTTCATATAAAAAAATCTCTTTAAAACAAATGTTTAATATATGATTTAAAAATATGTAAATTGAAGAGAAGTTAGTTGGGGGTTGGTAATTTTTTACTTTGTTACCGTTATTTATTTACTTTATTTATTTATTTACTTATCATATATTTGCCCTTCCAAATATTTGTTTATGTCAAGTTTACTTTACTTACATATTATTAGACTATAACTTTTACCTACATATTATTACTTTTACCATCTACTTGTTTCTTATATTTATGTTATCTTGTTTTTTCTGAAGCCTGATGAAAGTCTGAAACTTGGGCCGAAATGTCAGCAAAAATAAAATCAAATGTAATTTATTTATTTTTACTTAGTTTTTTGCTTGAGCGAACACCCCAGTGCATTGGAGAGAAGAGAGGCAAAACCCTCCAGGAAATGAGGCAGCTTAGTAGGGACCGAGAAGCATGGCTGCATTGGATAGAGGCTCCTCAACACTAATAATGGTACAAAGAGGAAGGCAAAGAAGAAGAAGTCAACATATTTATATAAGTCTGTGTTCTCTATTGTAAACTCTAGTGAGTCACATTCATATTGACCTATACAAATAGTTATCTCATAAAATATTGTTAGGGCCCTGCTAACTTATACTACTCTGCTAACTTCTTAAATTAAATTATTAGTTGAATAATAATTTGAAAGATCGAAAATGTTAAAAAATTAATTAAACTTACAAAAGGTATCATCTACTATGAACAACATCAATTTTATGTTTTGAAGCAATTTATGCTTAAAGTGGAAATACAATAAATATAATATAATATAAATATTTCCGTAACCATCGATTTTATCAAAATTTATGAATTACCTATTATTAATGATAGCGGATTAATGATTGACTGTTGCAGATATATTGAAGAGAAGTTAGTTGGGGTGTTCGCTCAAACAAAAAACTAAGTAAAAATAAATAAATTACATTTGGTTTTATTTTTGCCGACATTTCGGCCCAAGTTTCAGACTTTCATCAGGTTTAAGAAAAAACAAGATAACATAAATACGAGAAACAAGTAGATGGTAAAAGTAATAATATCTAGGTAAAAGGTATATTCTAATAATATGTAAGTAAAGTAAACTTGACATAAACAAATATTTTGAAAAGCAAATATATGACATGTAAATAAATAAAGGAAGTATAAAATAACGGTAACAAAGCAAAAAAAAAAAAATTAACAAACCCCAAATAACTTCTCTTCAATTTACATATTTTTAAATCATATATTGAACATTTATTTTAAAGAGATATTTTTATATGACACTGAAAAATAAAAAGAATTTATTAGTTATATTTACTTCCCATTCTTACAGGATGATACACATATAAAATGTATGTAATGTATGTATGTAATCACATAATATAACGACATATAAAGCCTGAAACATGATATTTTATAAATAATTTTACAGGATATCTCAAAACACATTAGTAATTTGTCCCCATATTCGTGTATGAAACATGACATTTACACTTACATGAGTAATATTTATTTAAGTAATATATTTAGGGTATCTGTAGGTTTTGTTTCTATACAAAACTTTTTTTTTTTTAAGGAGGCTCCCAGACCAATATTCTAGAAGTTATTCCTACATATTTTAGGATTTTTTTACTGAAAAAATCTGGTCGCTGACCATAAATTCTCAAAGTTATAAATGAAAATAGATAAATCAAAGTACCTTTGTCGGGGTGCTTTTCTTTATCTTCACCTCCTCTGCCTGAAAATTTAAAACAATTTATTAATCAATTAGAAAAATAAAATAGATGATTAATTATATCTTTCTCTAAGCATAAACATACCCTCATTTTCAACTGCCTTGCTAGGACTTACTTCTGCTGTTTCTTCAACTTCTGATACCAACCGAGCGACTGTAACAAAATTAGAAACTAAATAAGATGAAATGAACAAAAAGTCTTTTTAAATAAAAAAACAAGAAGATGCTGCACATTTTTGTTTATTTTTACAGATGTTTTAACTGTTACAAGAGGTCAAATTTATTTATTAATTTAATAATTTTACTGATTATTTCTGATCACTGATTTGTCGTTTATTTAATCACTATTAAAAATAATTAAAAGTGAGATAAAGCTTTAAGTAAATAATAGTTACACTACCTTCTGCTTCAATGTCCATTTCATCAATGTCAGGCTGATCTGCTTGTTTACTGCCACTCTTTTTATCTGGAACACAACAATGAGAATATAAAATAAAAGTTAAAAGAGTTTCTTATTTATTAATTGATTTTAAGAAATAAGAGTGGAAACATTTTTTTTTTTTTAGCCACACAGGGATTTCATGAATCACAAACACAAAGATCTAATCCTTAACTTTTAATGTGAAGCTGAAAAACCGTCTGGGAAATAGTAACCGATTGCTGAAAAACATGTAAGAACCCTCCAAAAAAAAAAAGGAGATCTATAACGGATGAAGGATCTTGGGTCCAGTACTACGTGAAGAAGTACTGTTACAAGGCCAACAGTTGCGCAGGGAGATGATTGGGGCGAGATCATGCTCAATCACCAGGTTTTCATTGAGTATCCACTTAATAGACCCCAGGGTCGATCCATGATGAAAAATTACTAGTCATCAGTCAGATTCGAACCTGGAATTATCAGCTGTGGAAGTCAGTGTTCACCCACTGAGCTACCCTGCTCCATAAAAAAAAAAATAATAAAAATGATATTAAAAACATTATTAATTATTTTTATGGCACAATAAAATTCATATTTTTAAGAAATTCTTCTACATGTACCATTAGCTGTTTAGGCCATTACTGATTGATAACTACTGATACGACGTTTATAAATATTATTTATCAATGTTACCATTCCTTCAGGCCGTTAATTTTTATTTTGCCCAAAATAATAAATAGTAAATTATGATTAGAAAGTATTTTCATTTTGTTTTATTTAAGTTTAATTTACACAAAAACATACATATGAACCGAGAGAACTTTATATAGTTTATTTTGAATGTAAAAAACAATCACCTGTCTTATGGACTAATGAATGGTAGCGCCCACTACAAGCTACACTGGCTGCTTAACAATGGAGATTGAGTGTCTTTTTTTCTCTCGCCATCTAGCTTCTATATAGTTTGTGAACGTCTCAATATGAACCTTTTCTTATTATTTATTATTGGAAAAGTACAATTTCAATCTTAGATAGTTCTTATATCACTTGAATTCTATTCCAGCTCTAATTTACACTATTTTATTTTCCACCCAATTTAGAATGTTTTAGGACTGTTCAGGAAGAATGGGAGACTATAAGAATTTAAAATAATAATAAAACAAGTAAAAAAACTTACTAGTTCCGTCTAAATGTACATCATCGTCATCATCATCTACGATATTTTCAGCACTTTGTGCATTTGTACGATCATCGCCATCTGCAAAAATGGATTCATCACCTTTAGATTAAAATATAATTTTTTTTTATTTTTTATTATTTATTTATTTATATATACATCACATCATATCATAATGATAAATTACATGAAATATAAATAAATAAAACAATATATTCTAATGATTTTGCAGGTATTTACTTTACTAATATTTATTTTGTTAAATTTCATATTAAATATAAATAAATGTAAGAAGTTATAAAATATCAAAAAAGTTTTAGATTTGACACTGGTATTCGACCACTGAGATTTGTGGGACTTGTGTAGTATGGTTTAGAACCTTCTGTAGGCTCTATAAAAACCATGCTGAGTTTGTAGACAAGTTAGTTTTTAAATTAGTATATATATTTAGTTTAGTTATTAATAGTTGAAGATAAGATTGAAAAGTGAGATAGTACATTCTCATTAATGAGTGAAGAAAGATGTTATCAGCAATAAGGTTATATATGTTTTCTCAAGTGTCAATTATATTTCCACTTGTATATACAAGACCTCCAGTTGGGATTGTATTTTAAAATCTCTCAATTATATAAAAAAGTTTTTAGTAACTTTCATATTGGTTTATTATTCTCAATAATCAACCATTGTGATCGACCAAAAATTCAAAAACTTAACCCTCTCTCAAAATTTGAGGTTTCACGTTTCAGGACGCGTAGAATTCGAAAAACGAATAAAAATTTTTTTGTCCATCCGACGTCCGCGCATTTTCTCCTAAGCTACTGGACCGATTTTTTTCTAATTTTGATATAAAATCAGAGGTCACCCGAGGATGATCCTCCTTCATCGACATTACTCTCCGCCTTTAACTTTCAAAATGGTGACCGAAAAACCTGCTTTGCTACAGACTGTAGCTCCTAAACGAATGTACAGATTTCAATGAAACTTCGCTAGTCATTTTCTCGAGACCCTTTAGATTTATCTATATAACATACTTCAACGAAAAGAAACTGGAAAAAAAGTTATGAGGGATGGTAAAATTAAATTCCGAACAACTTCGAAAAGTTTTTTAAAAGTTTACAAAACTTCCTAAAAAAAAAAAATTATTAAAATCGGACAATTAGGAGCAAAGATATGGTATCCGGTTTTTTTTTATATGTTCTATTCCAAATGTTTGGTTTTTAAATTTGTATGTAGTTTTGAATGTGTTACTGAACTAATGCTATTTTTTTTTCAGCATATTACTAATGATTAAAGAAAAACAGTTTAGTCCAATAATTGGAATCACCTTTTGTTTTTTTTCTTTGTAACTCGGAAGGTAATGTTACTTTAGATATATAATTGTTTGGAAATAATAAACCATTGTGAAATAATTTGCAGCATTTTTTATTTTATTTTAGTATAAGGAGAGTAGGAGATAAGATAACTTGCTCAACTATTAAACTGAAGGGATATTTTCCAATGCGACAGGCTAGTCAACTTATAAAGTTAATTGTTACTTTAAGTGATGGTAAAAAATGAGACATCGCCAATTGTGTGAGAATAGGCTATCTTGATAATATTAAATTTTATGTACAAATAAACATGGTTGGCTGATGTCAATTCTCACTAGGGTATAATAGTTATAATATATAACAATTTGTGGAAATGCCTAATTTGGATCAGATATTGAACATTAAAAGGATCAGCTATAAATGTTATGATTTAAATGCCTTGAAAATAGAATAAATTAGGATGACATTACTTAAAATGGCTTGAAATCGTCGCAAAGATGCAAAAAATTGTCTTAACACTACTCACAGTTACACTTACCTTCAGTTTCCATTCCACTTTCACCATCCTTCTTTCCGGGTCGTTCCGCTTCTTGAGAAGCTGAAAAAAAGGAAAACTTATAAATAATGTCCATAGGAAATATACTTATGATATAGCCGAATAATTTAAATGGTTTTAGTTCTATATCATAGATAATTCAAACTTATCTGTTGGCCTCTTGTTCTTTAAGGGGACCCTACACGGTCAATCGGAATTGCACTAATGACGTTCCGAATTGTCGTGTAAGGTAGTGAATGAAGTACTGATGGTGGTGTGCTGCGGATTTCCAAACATCCAGAAACCAAAGGTTCATTCACGAGAAGTGGAGGGGGGACTGAGGTAAAAGTAGTGGGGAGACTAACCATACTGCTGGATAGGTTAGGTTACCTAGGCCTCACAACCATTATAAATTTCTGTTTTTCATTATATGTAAATAGTTAAATAATTTTTCATATCCCTTGTTTATAATTTTAAAACATCTTCAACTATTTCTTTTAAATAGTCAAGTGGACAACAAATTAAAAAAAAAAAAATGAGGAAACTTCACAATATATTTTAAGAAAAAAAAAAACATTAACGTTGTGTATATTCATCAGTTCTTTTCCCATTTTCCTCAACAAATTTATTATTTTCGCAATACCTTTCCTTAATTTTTGTAAGTAGTAGACTTATATTTTACTAACTTTTGTCAAAATGATTTTCTATGAGACTAACCTTCTATGAGACTACTACTAGATAGCTTAGTTTACCTAGATCTCGTAATTAAGTAAATAGTTGTTTATATCCCTAGTCTATATTATTATTAACCATTTTCAACAATTTTTTCTTTAAATAGTCAAGTAGGCAATAAATAAAAGAGAAAAAAAAGTGGAAACTTCACAATTTACTTATAGAAAAAAAATCTTTAACTGTTGTGTTCATTTGCCATTAATTTTTTCATTTTTCTTAACAAATTGATTATTTTTGCAATACTTTTCCTAGATTTTTGTATGTAGTTGACTTATATTTTTCTAACTTTGGTCTAAACGATTTTCAGGCACTAGGAAGTAATTATTATATCTCCGTTTTTCTCTTGATGCCCAATATTATAAATGACAATGTCCAAATAAGCATATCTATGCTGTTTCTTTGTTTACAACTGAGCTAAATTGGTATCAGCAACGATAAGTAATGATCAGTAATGATTGAACGTGTAAGGGTCTTCATGATCAAAGCGATCGCGGGCAATCTTGGCACTTCTTGTGACGTTCATTCATGAATTACCGTGTAGGGTCTGCTTTAAATACAGATAATTAAACATATAAATAAACACACCCGCATAGATGAAAAAATAGACTAGAACCTATGATAATAAAATATTTAAAATTAATTATACATGTAAATAAATAAAATAATTACCAGGACTGTTTACGACAGTGACATCCTCTGAGTTGGAAGACTGATCCGTTCCCTCAGACAGGTCAACATTAATGATACCATCGTCCTCACTGGTTGGTCCCTTATCAGTTTCAACTCCTTCCGAATCACTGACGTCTATAACATTGTCTTCAGGATTAGAAGGTCCATCATTAGCTGTAATATCGATTACAGTTACTCCTTTTTCAGTTTCACTAGCAATACCGACAGACTCGTCGCCTACTTCTGGCAAATCAGGATTAACGTTATCAGATCTTGGCTCATCTGTAATAAAAAATAAAATCCAAAACTGAGTAAGTAGTATTGAATTTATGTTCTAAACAAGTATCTACCCTGTAACAATAGCAGATTATTTAGATGTCCAGTAACAATGATAACACAACACAATACAGACAATACAATGGTCTCAGCTAATACACTGATGGCTAACAAACTGCTTTAGGGTCAGGAGTAGGAGAAACCTCTAGAAAGTAAGAAAGAAAAAAAATCATCTTTATTCTGGGACTAGGTCCCTTTAGAATAACAGTATTGTTCATATAAATTAACCATAAATCTGGCCAAAAGACTTATTACAATGAATAATAACAAAGTACCAGTAATAAATTAAGTATTAATTAATTAATCTTAGGATAAATTAATGAGAACAGTTGGGTAATAGGGGTTCAGTACTACAATATTGGAGCAAAAACAATAGCATAATAATCACTGAATGAAATTAGAAAGGAACACAAAATCAATTTTATAGGCAAAGCATTGTAGTGAAGGAATATAAAAATTAAAAAAATAATAATAACTGTTAATATGTAAGGAAAGAAATTGTAAAAAAAAAAAAAAAAATGATATACATATGTTTCCTAAGATATTTAGGTGATTATGCGTAAAGATTAGGAGAAGAAAAAATTAAATAAAGTATACATAAATATACACATAAGGAGGAGTGTGTTGAAGATAATTAGAAAATAAAATACAATTCAACGAAATGCAATTTCTTGAATGAAAAAATTAGAAATTAAGAAAAACAAATTTTATCTACTCACAATGCTTAGTGAGTGGTGATGAAAATTCATGTTCAACACAGAATAAAACAATAAAAAATAAGAGAAAAAAAAATGTATAAAGAAAATTAAAGCCTTATAACATAGTATGGATTTAACCAGCGTTTGATTGGATTGTGAAGAGGAATTGGAATAAGAGGGTTTTAAAGGTGAATAAGGATGATGCATGGCGGATTTTTAGTGGAATGGAATTCCAGAATGCAGTGGAACGGACAACGAAGGTATGTTTAAATGATGCAGATCTGTGGCAAGGGGTGTAAAGGTCAGAAGGACAAGATCTTGTGGAGAGGGATGATCTGAATATTAGATGATTTAGATATGAGAAATAGATGATTTGAATTGTAGGAGATTGTATGCATGAAAGTATTAACTATATAGAATATTAGTTCTCTCCAACAAATCTATCAAGAGCGATTGAATCTATACGAAGGAATCTGGTATCAAACAAAAGGGGATTTCATAGATAAGTGGTGACAAATGCCAATTTAAAAACTTAAAATCTTTAATAATCGATCAATAAAAGTCATTAAACAAACTGGAAAGTTTGAAAAATTAACAGACCGTCATGGGATTCTTGTTTTATAAATTTCAACAAATACATTATGACCTGGTATAGTTCTTTGATTAAATAATAACTAATAAAGAACTTGATGAATATAGATTTTTAAATAGAACGGGCAACAACCAATATACCATACCTTCATGCATTGTTTGTTTTTCATTTAATATTTCTTTATCTCCAGCAAGGTTATTCTCCAATTCAGTAGTAGATGGCTCACTTTCACAGACCATTTCGGTGGCAACGGATCCTTCTGAAACTGAAAACCAATGTTTCATTGAAAAAAAAGAAAACCACATAAGTTATTGACTCAGCTTTATATAATTGTGTTCTTGAATATTCATTTCTACAGTTTATGAAATACAGACATTGGGAAAAGAGAGGTGGAGAGTAATGTAAAAATACATATTTTTAAAGCGGGATATTTATCAACCCTTACATACGGGAGTGAAAGCTGGGTTTTATTAACCAAACACTTTAGCAGAGTTACTGCTAGTGAAATGAAATATCTTCGAAGGGTTGTCGGCCGAACCAGGAGAGACCAGATCAGGAATGAAAAAAAAAGATAGGATTTAGGCACTGCCCCACTAAAGGATTCTATAGAAAAGAGGGGTACTCCTTAAATAGCCGGTAGGGTCGAAACCTCCCTTGTTATCTAATCTTATATCACATAACTTCCCTTCTTATCTCCTCTAACCTAAGTTATTCTATTGTTTATTTTTTGTTCCTCGTGTAAGCTGTGAGTTATTCCATAATTTATTTTTGTTCCATTAGTGTTATTTTCATAAAGTTACACATGTTGCTACATTGTTCGAATTGCCGTCTTCAGAAGAAGAGGCTATCAAATATTTTCAAGACGTCGAGGATTTCTTTTACATGTACATATATTGTTTAAGTGTTTTTTTATTGTTTTATTTATTTTTATATATTTTTTGCCTATCCGTACATATATGTTGTAATGGTTTTACACTATATATGTATAGTGTTTTGGTCTATTTAATATATATGTTGTAAAATAAAAGTATTATTTTATTACTACATTTGTTTTTGTTTACAATTTCAATAATATAAATATAATACAATAAATACGAATATCAATAATATGAATAGAATACAATAAATATGAATACGAAGATAGGAATTATCAATGTTAAGGTTATATGGCAGATAGCAGTCGGACCCGATCGGCTATTTAAGGAGCACCAAAAGAGGCAGCTGAGATAGTTCGGGCATGTATGCTGGATGAATGAAGACCGTGACCCATGAAAATTCATGAAGGTGAGACCTATACGAAAGCGCCCAAGAGGAAGACCTGGATTGTCATGGGTGGAGTACATCTCTCAGTTTGGGCAGAAAAGAGGTATGCGGATAATATGAGGGCTCTAGCTCGGGACCGAAATGCTTGGGATGCATGGATCGAGGCACCTCCATACTGAAAGGCACAAAGGAGGTAGAGAAAGAAGAAGAAGAAGAATATTCATTTCAGTAATTTTAGCTAAAAACTATTAAAGGTGGTCAACAAGAGTTTGATTCCTTGACTCTTCCTTATCTTAAATGAAATCTCCTGCCATCCCCTCCAAAATAAGGAAGTAAAATGCAATAAAAATCTTTAGTCACAATATTCCAAAATATTTAGAAATAGATAAACTGTCATAAAGACTGAATCATGAAAATTATAATTCGAACAAAACATGAGTATGGTCCAAATATTACAATATTAATATTAATATAAAAAAAAACATCCATTTTTTATTTCCGATATTAAAAAAAAAAAATCAATGTCCTGCACTAATTTAAACTAACCAGAAACTTTTTATTTTAATACTTTATTTTTATTTATTAACTTTTCATTTCGTTTAACATTTATTATTTTGAGCAAACATTATTGCAAAATTCCTTGAGTTTCTGACAAGATAAAAATAACTGACTTTTCTGAAATCATGAAATTCCTCGACTTTTCCTCATTTTCTATGTCTGCAGACCTCTGGTCATTAAACAGCATTAATAAAATATTTTTACAAAATAATTATTTATATAAAAACAATAGTTTTACTAAAATAAAATTTTTAATTTTAAAGAATAGTAATATAATAATTTTTAAAGTTTTGATAAGAGGACATGCCTAGTTCAATATGTCAAATTTAACTAGTTAGTTCTCCTCATTAAATTTTCTAGTTTAAAAATATTGTTTTTAACAATAAGAAAAAGAGTAAGATCTAAATAATAAAAAGAAAAACAAATAATTGAAATAGTAAAAATAAACATGCAGTGGATTGGCAAATAAGTCCTTTCGGTTTTTCAAGGTGAAATAAAACTCAATGTATTGTAAACATAAAATTTATTTTAATCTACAATATATTGACCATTATTTAATTTGACTTTTTCCATCTTTCCCATAACTACATAATGCCATGTTCATAGGATGTCTGGAGTTTATTGTTAAAAAACTGAGCCAAGTGGTTTTTGATGTCCTCTTCCTTTTGGGATTTCTTTCCATTTGTGGAGTTATGCAGAGACCGAAATAAGTGTTAGTCACTTGGAGCTAGTCTGGTGAATAGGGAGGGTGGAGGAAAAGTTCCCATCCAAGCCCCAATAATTTATGGCAAGTGACCAACAAGGTGTGGTTGGTGGACCTACCGTTGTCTTGGTGGAACACAACACCTTTCTGATCATTCATAACTCTTCAGGATGTTCTCTAAATTTGATGTTACTGTATCTGTTGGAAAGCTGAATTATTGCTCTTCATGAATGGTTTTTTGACTTAATGTCTACATAAAGAATAAATAAACAAAAACTCCTAATAGGTTTTTATTTTTGATCTCCATTTGTAGTTTGTTTACGAATGTCCTGTTGATGTCATTTTGTGTAGTTTATGTAGCCCTAAATTCCTGCTAAATTTCTTGTAGATAGCTAAAGTTGTATTGAAGTTAAACATTTTCTGTGATTTTCGAAAAAAAAAAATCATGTGAGGGACCCAAACATTAGGCCTGAAAACATAGCCGAGCTTGTGCAAATGGTTTTCTACGCTTGTGTGCGACACATTTAGGGCCATAGCAATCTCTCGCACTGATTGGATGGGATTTTGATCAACAATGGCCTTAACATTGCTCGTTTCAATTTCATGTGGGCGACCAGACCGTTGAGCATCATTGATGTCAAAATTTCCTGAATGAAATTTGGCAAACCAATTTTGACAGGTGCGTTCGGTTAAGGCATCATCTCCATAAACGCTGCAATTTTTCTATGAGCTTCTGCAGCACGCTTACCTTTTTTAAAAAAATATGCCGATAATGAATGATATTTTCTTCCATATTCAAAGTGCAATAACAAACACGATACTAAGCTTGTTTCAATAAGAGTAAACAGATAAGAAGTGTATCATAGTGACATAAAAATAAACAGAAAAACTGAAAGGATTTATTCGCCAACCCAATACATATATGTTATCATGGTTAGAGAAATATCAAATTAATACATAAGAATAACTCTCAAATAACAGACAACTTTCAAGTCCCACATGGTTAAAAATATTTCCAAGAATAATCAGTCTTAAGAAACATTTCTTTCTGATAGACATGATGAATTAATTTTGTGAGAATGTTTTATGTTCTATTGACATCAAACACTATGATTCTTATTGTTATGGGTATGCCAGAGCAAGTTTTTGAATTCAAGCACACATTGGCATTAATTGGATGTATCTCTTGGGAAAAAAAGTATTAACTCTATTAAAAAGTATTAACTAAAGTATTCTGTATTCGTATTAATTGAATGCTCACAAAAATCATTCCAAAAAATGTCCTTGAAAACCATCATTGTCACAGAAACATCACATTAAAAAACAATTAATGATTTTTGGGATACTGAAAAGTTGCCCGAATCCGGAAATTCTAAATGAATATGATATTAATGAAACAAGGAATCTTCATTCTCACTATGGAATATTCGCTACTTTCTATCACACCAGACAGCTAGGATGAGTGGAAAACAAGAAAGTAGGTTTTAAATTATCAATGTAGTGGATATAGTTAGTCTCTTTGATAAAAAAATAAAAAAACATTAAGAATAAACAATGATAATTGAGAAATAGATTTTAAAATTAATAATCTGACAGATATTCAATTTTAATAATTTTTTTTTTTAAGTTTCAAATTATAAAAAAATTTTTGTGCTCTTGTATTTGAAATTTCAGAATGAATGAATAAAAAAATAATTTTATTCTAGGACTTAAGTCCCCTAAGAATAATGACAAAGTTCAGAAATGTTTCACATTAGTCTGGCCAGAAGAAATGACTCTTACACGTTTGCAGACGTAATATGAAGTAGGTGGTGGAATAGGAGTTGTTTAAATGAATTTGTTCACAAGGTTTGAAACATGGAGATAGGTAAGGAGTTCCAAAAAGAGATTGCATGAATGATGAAATATTTACAGAAGGAAGTGTATTTATGGGAGGAGATGCAAAATATTTTTGAGGAGAGTAATCATCGGATCTGGTCGACTTATACCGTCAACGCTCAGCCTCAGCTAATTCAGCTGTTCCCGCCCTAACGTTGAAGTGGAATAGGTTTGCAAACTTATAGGAATTGAATTCAATCAGATCAATTGTTAAAAAAAAAAAAAAAGAATCAATGGATAAAAAAAGTAAATAATAGTTGAAAATAAAAAACAATTGATAAAAAAGAAAACAATGTGTTAAGAGTAAAATTAAAGTAGAGAACATGAAGAGTAACATCAAACGCAAGGGCTTAGAGAAAACAAAGCCGAATGTAGCAGGTTGAACTGAAAAGGGGAGAGGAGACTGTGCATTGACAATATATGGCGACCAGACCCGATGATTGCTCATCCTCAAAAATATTTAACTTCCTAGACACTAGTCAGGAAACATGACATCTTCAGCTGCTTTTCATGTGAAGCAGAAAGGACATGTGTTCATAATTAAGTGAATGATTGATTAGAGAAAACTATGAAGAAAAATGATGGTTTTATTACAATGATTCATTATAAAAAGACCTATAATTAACTAGAATTTTTTCTCCATAAATTTGGCATAACAAATAGAAAAAAAAATAGCTCGGTTTTTTTCACCAACGCTTACGTTATCTGTTAGTTTGTTTTATTCAAATATTTTCATTGAGTAATGGTAGAACCACTTTTACAATTAGGAGACCTTATCTTAATGTAATGGTTTGAGAAATTTCAAACTGCACTCAATAGTCTCATCGTAATAGACTTCATTGCCTTAGGCAGAAAATTTTGAAATATTCTTTATTTTCGGCAATGATAACTTCCCGGTATACAAACAATTGGTTTGTTTGTTGATTTACATGTCAAGTCGACGTTTCGGGAAAGTTATTCCCATCTTTAAAACTTAAAATCCCATAATTTCATAGCGATTTATGGCTAAAGCCTAATGTGCTCCTTTGTCATGACTTGAAATTTATGTTATAAATACAATAAAAGTACACTATCTGGAGCATCAACATTCTTAGGAATATAGTATATATTATATATATAGCTCCAGATAGTACACTTTTCTTTTATAACATAATTTTCAAATCATGACAAAGGAGCACATCAGACTTTAGCCATAAATCGCTATGAAAGTATGGTATTTTAACTTTTGTAGATGGGAATAATTTTCCCAAAAGGTCAACATGAATTGTTTGTTTATCTGGAAATTTTCATAGCCGAAAATAAAGAATAATATACAGCTTCCCAGCAAAAAAGAAGAAAAGAAGAATTAAAATATTAATATTTCAATGAAATGGGTGATAAATATTCAGGACGCAGTCATTTTAAATTTTTTTTTTTTTTTATTTGTGCCGAAGTTTCAACCCAAACATGTGGGTCATCAGGGCGTGGTTCGAGCACTGAGGGTGTACAGTACTCGAACACCCTCAGTGCTCGAACCACGCCCTGATGATGACCCACATGTTTGGGTCGTAACGTCGGCATAAATAAAAAATGAAAATTTTTTTTAAATGACTGCGTCCTGAATACTTATCATCCATGATATGTAGTACAGTCGACTAGCTTCCTTCAATATTTCAATGAAATATTTAAATTTTATGGATAGATTTACCATTTGAGCTTAACTATTGATAATGGATGTAGCTGACTTACAAACATTCAGATTTTTATTTTTTTTTATTTTGAATTAAAATTTTTTTTTTTTTGAGCATTATAACCGGAAACTTGCCCTTTATTTGATGGATGATCACCCATAAACTATTTATTGAATGATGTGCTATAAGCACAAAATGGATGATCTATATATAAATAAATCATAATTTAATTGAAAATTTGGATTGGTAATAATTGGAAAATTGGTAATCATACACTTACAAGTTGAAAATACAGACTATTTATATCTTCTTTCTTCATTTTGGTTTCTTTCTTCGCACATTGCAAATAAAAATAAAAGCAAACGTTTCTCCACAGGTTATTAACGCCTTGATGGATCTGCGCTGAGCAGAAAACCTCCAAAAGAACACTGCGAATAACGAACACTGTTGAGGCATGATATAAGCCCATTCGTCAATAAAATAATTCAAAACTAATACTATATATATAATTTTTTTTAGGGAAAGTTAGTTGAGAAAATGTCAGGCAAGAAAAAACAAATATATAAGAATAAAATTACTTTAATGGATGCTGACTTTTTAGTATAAGTTGCAGGTCTTCAAAAAAGCTAAGATAAAATAACAAGATAACAAGCAGGATGAAATAAGATAAAAAAGAAACAAAAAAAAGGGAACAATTAACAAACATTACTGAAAATATATTGAAATTGTTATAAAATATAAAAATATTTTAATTATTGAAAATGATAATTTTTATGATTATAGCACACTAAACTAACTGAGAATATATTCAAAATTTAATTTTTTCTTAATTGACACATAAAATAATGCTGTTTATAAAATGATACAGCTTATTATTATATTTCATACTAATTGTTATTTCCTTTTACTTACACCTGGTGAAGGCCTAAAACTTAGGAAATATCAACACACATTAAAATAAATTTATACTTATCTATGTGTTTTTTTTTTTCTGATTGTCCCCTACCCCATGCCCAAACCAACTTCTACTTGAATTAGTTCAATGATCAACGATACCTCTATGATTATAATTTTATTTATATTATTTATTTAATAATGATATAAATTAGTAAAACATGATTTAGAGGAAAAAATATATACAAATAACATAATCATGACCCATATATTGAACTTCAAATACTCAGAAACAATTATTGTTCTAACACTGAAACTCAACATAGCAATGGATGCATTTGGAAAGCAAAGAACTGCTTAGTTTTATTTTCAATACTACACAAGATCATAATTGTTTATCTGAGAATGAAAATAAGTTACTAAAACAAAATATCTTTAGGAGTAATACAAAATGTATTTATTGTATAAAAACACAAAATGAATCATGAGTCATGAATTTTTTTTTTGAATTCCGGAAAAAATGCATTGCAGCCTCATTTAGGCATATTGAGTACCGTCCTATACTCTGTTAAAAAATGCAAATAGATATTGTGAATTTCTATATAAATCCATTAATGTTACTACAATATACAAAAATTTTTTTTAATAAAAGGTAATTTAAATTTTTTTAAAAATACTGCTTAAATAAACCTATTCATCTTAAAAGGAATTTACTTGCAAATCTACTAAAAATCATTGTTAGCTTGTCACTGAAGTTTTCATCATTCATCACCGATATCTATGAAAAACTAAACATCAAGTTTCATTTATTTATCAGGTACTTTCCACTACACATTATGGTTTTTGGGATTGTATGAGGAGTTTCACTGTTTATAAATATCTTGACGAATGGGTCACATCACAAAACCGCAACAATGAACTGCATTGATAAAACACTCTTGGATTCCTTGAAACTACATACAGCCAGTCATGTTTGTCATCAATCCGTGTAATAATTAAATCAACGACAAAAATATCAACTTTTTCTTATGTTCAAAGCTATAACCATTCATAAATATCAAATTGAAATATTTTCTTCATAAGTCTAATAAAAAAAAACAAATGAATTAAACTACAGTAGGAAGATGATCATGCTATTCATGTTGACTTACCAACAGTGTCCCCACAGTCCTTTCCATCATCAGCTGTTTCCTTCATTTTTTCATCAGCTGTTTCCTTTATTTCCTCATCAGCAGCTGAAAAAAAAAAATGCATTTTAAACATATAAACTGCACTATTCTTTCATTGTGATACTTTTACTACATACCACAATTGCGAACTTGCTTGGAAAAAAATCAATAGAACTCACGCGTTAATCATAATTAGAATTAAAGAACATATAGACAGCTACACTGCAAAAGCCTGTTAGGAAAATTTCCATGAAAAATGAGGTTTGGAACTTTCCTAGTCAATCTTGTCTTGGCGCATATTCTGATCACACAAAATCAAATCTACGATGTTTTATTTCTTTTCTATGATCTTTTTTAAAAAACCTGTAAGTTACAGTGAAGGTTATAGAGATAGAATTGTTACCAAAAAAACATAATGAAATGCTCAATGAAAGGTGATTGTAAATACGGATTGTTTATAGCGTTTCGTACATAGACTACAGTATCAATTAGCTTTATTAATAAGCTAAAATTAATTTTTCTTATATGCTTTATATTCTTTTTTTTTTCATTTTATATTAAACTATTTTATTGCCTCTTTCTATCAACTTTCGTTTAATTATCCATAATATTTATGAATAATATATCTCTCGTCCTTATTTACGCTTCCGGATCTTTAGTCCAAACTTCGTCAGATAACCGTTGGAGATGACGCCACTATACATCCCTTCTCTCCACCCCCTCCTTGACTAACATGATCATTGCTTCGATTTACTTCATTGCAGTCATATGTGTTTTTCTTTTTCTTTTCTTTCTTATTTCAACTTTCTCAGTTTCTTTCCTCCTTCCTTTCATTCCTTTTCTCTGTTTTAACTCTTAATTATATTATACGTTGTCTGTACATATTGATAGACTTCACAACATCTCAATTTTCTATCTAACTATTCTATTCGCAATATCTTAATTTTACATTTATTTCCATTTCTTATATAACTTCATATTTTTCTGTTTTACGTTTTATTCTAAGATTCCCATTTCAATACTTATGTCACCTTTTTGATTATGTTTACTTCATCATTCCACATTTTATTATTATTTATCTCTTAGTTCTTACTATTGTCATTATTTTAACAACTGCATTTTACTTTAATTTTTATGTTTCTGATACCTTGTTATCTGGTTCTTTTCTTAGCCCTGACGATGGCCTGAACTTCAGGTCGAAACGTCGGCAAATGTCAAAATAAATATTATCATTTATTTTTGCCTTCTTATTTGAATGATCACCCCAACTATTCTTCTCTTCATTATTCACGACAGTTAACCATTTACCCACAATTATTCTTTTTTTAAATTTCTAATAAGTGGTGGACACTTATAGCCCGGTACCTCTAAACAGATGCCCGGATTATCCTGCTCTCAGCAGTGCTTACATGGAACTAGACGAAGTAAAGAAGAGAGTGGTAAGTGAGAATATAATATTAAACGGTCTCTAAAACAATCGAAACCCCTGAACATTGCAAAATGAGCTTGGCACAAAAAAAAGGTCACAATGCCACCAAACTCCAGATAGCGAGAGACAGAGAATTGATTGGAAAATTTAACATAAGACTAAAAAAGAACTCTAGTTTCATCTTTTCGAACCAATGAATCTTAGAAATCGCAAGAAGCTGAGAAACGATGCGATCTATATATCAGCAGGTTACCTAGAACTTACTAAGCATTCCTGAATCAAACAACCATGTCCATATGAAGTAGAATACGTTAAAAACAAATATTTCGTAGAATACTCCGAAATGAGGCGCATGCACTCTAAGCCGCTCCTTCAGTGAGAGACAAAAAAGTGAATAACCCATGTGATCGAATACTCGCTTTCCAGTCGAATATTTTATAAATTTTCATTTGAAGTATCGTTTTTCTCTACATTTTGTAAGCTGACTTTATTCTTGTCATACTTTAGTCATTATTAAAGTTGTGGGTGTTACTACAGTAAATCTGATTGCTAACTAACTGATACCTGTTTTTCAAAATAACTATAATGCTATAAATTAGAAGTTATTGCTCTAAAAGATTATTTGGCAGAAATACAATAAAAAAAGTTACATGGAGCATTACATCATTGTCTTAGGCATGCAAAAAAAAAAATTGAACCGAAAAAATATGATGCTCATAGAATAAAAGTTATGCAGTTTTTTTTGTCTCCCTAAAAATTTCAAGTTTTTGCAGTGTGGCTGTCGATATATAAGATTGAGATTCCACTTTTTAAATAATCAGTTTCATATTTAGTTAATATTATTAATCATTTTAAGTTATTCGTAATATAATAATAATAATATTTGGCGCTACTACCCTTGAAGGGCATGGGTCTTATCACAGATTGCATGCCAGGCTGGTCAATCAGTAGCAACCCATCTTCATCCTCAAACTCCAAATTGACGCAGGTCTGCCTCGACATTGCTCAGCTATCTCATTCTGGGATGTCCACGCTTTCGAGTACAAACCGGCTTTTCAAAAAGTTGCTTCCTTGGAAGACGATTCTCCTTCATACGCTCCACATGTCCGAGCCACCTCAGCCTTCCCTGTTTTAATATACTTACTATGTCTGGCTGATCATACAATGCTCATAAATCTTCGTTCTAATTTTCCACTCTCCATCATAATAGACTGGTCCATATATTTTACTTAGTTTCTTTCTTTCCCAAGCGAATAGTCGTTTCTCCATGGTCTTCAGAATCTATAGAGCACTCTATAGTTATAGTGGTTGGAGGCAATACACTAATTCAGAACTGATGGTCCTTTACAACGAAACTGATATCATCCATCTCATTAAAATAAGTCAACTATGGTGTGCATGACATGTGGCGAGAATGACCTATGATCGAATCCCGAGGCAAATGTCGATAACTGTGTACACAGAAATTGTTAAGCAGATGACATTTGGTCCATCCTTGACATTCTATAATTGGAGGAGGGCAGTATAGCAAAGAGATGACTGGTGGCCATTGTTGGAGGCGACCTTGCTCTTTTGTAGTGTTACAGTGCCATTTAAAAACAAGAAGAGAATAGGTCATCATGAGTAATATAAAAGTTTAACAAAGAAAAATGAATGGTTTAATAAAATTTCAGATCGTTAGGAGAAACAGGATAGTCATTTTTAAATTGAGAATTTACAACAAAGAATTTTCTGAGGATCTTCCAGTCGAATCTAGGAACAAGAGCTTGGGAGATAGAAATATGAAAGAATGCTGGTATTCATAGAAGACTGAATTAAATTTAGGAGAAATTTAACGCAGGAATAATTTCAAGGTTAAAATGTCGCAATCCGTCAAATATTATTTATTGCACTGTATATTTATGATGGCATGATGTGAAATTTCATAATGTTAAATAACAATAGTACTAACCTTGAGAAACTTCACTTTCAATAGGATTAGGCATTTCTTCACTTTCTACAGCCTTCAGTATTTCATCACTTTCTACAGTTTTAGGCATTTCTTCCCTTTCTACAGGTTTAGGCATTTCATTACTTTCTGCAGGTTTCGGCATTTCTTCACTTTCTACGGGTTTAGACATTCCTTCGCACTCTACAGGTTTAGACATTTCTTCACTCTCTACAGGTTTAGACATTTCATCACTTTCTACAGGTTTAGGCATTTCATCACTTTCTACAGGTTTAGGCATTTCTTCACTCTCTACAGGTTTAGGCATTTCTTCACTTTCTAAAGGTTTTGGCATTTCTTCCCTTTCAACAAGTTTAGACATTTCTTCATTTTCGGCAGGTTTGGTAATGTGTTCGATGTTCTCTGACAGTAATGTTTCTTCTGAAAAAATAAATACCAGTTACATATAGAAAAATGTGCTCCAAAAACATATTTTAATAAATAAAGTATTTTACAATTAATTTTTTTTAAAAACATGAGTGTTAAAAGGTCCAAATTCAAACTGATCCTAAAAAGACAAATAAACTAACCAAAACTAAAGTTAATGTTTGTATAGACGTTAAAGTTCATAAGTTAACAAAATTTAAGCTTTGAATGACTAACCAGCCAAGGTGAAGTTATTCGGACAACATTCTATAATAAACCTAAATTTTATTATTTAACAATCTACATTCCTTACCAACACTGTTATATTAGATAAACTTCCATAACCTTATTGTATACATTAACTTACAAAAAAAAAAAACTAATGAAACCAATGATTGGTTAGAAAAATTGATACAACCCTCCCTCCTCGGTACAGCCCCTAATTACTAATCATTAATACTCATCTAAAACTTCTTGAATGGCTTCATTTTAATATAACCAACAACTTTCTTATTTACTAAAATGCTCAGGATTAGATATGGAAAACTTGATTCTTTTAACTGAATCGATTCTCAACGATCCAATCATTGTGATGAATCGATTCTTTTCAACATTAAATTAAAAAAGACTGATGACCTGTAGAACCAATTATAAATACAAAATAAATAAAACATAACAGTATAGTAAATATTTACATAATAATAGATAATTAAAAATAAAATAAAAGAGTGAGAAAAAACTGTAATATATAAATAAAATAAACAGAGAGAAAAAATAAACAAAATAATAATGTAAATGAGCATAGGTTATAAATATCTAAAGTGCGAAATGCTCGTGGAAGAATAGATTCATTAAGTAAACAAAACAGTGAAAAACGACGGAAGATTTCCTAGTACAAAATCGGTGAATCGAAATGTTGTATTATTTGCTGAGTTGTTTTGTTTACTTTTCAAATCTACTCTTCCACGAGCATTTCTTACTTCAGACATTTATAAACTATGCTTATTTACATTACTATTTTGTTTATTTTTTTTTTCTCTCTGTAGATTTTATTTATATAAATGTGCACAGTTTTTTTTTTCTCTCTTGTACTTTTATTTTTAATTACCTATTATTATGCACGTATTTAATTTAACATTTCACACTTCAGATATTTATAACCCATGCTTATTTATATCACTATTTTGTTTATTTTTTCTCTCTGTTTGGTTTATTTATATATGTATTGAGTTTTTTTTTTCTCTCATGCACTTTTATTTTTAATAATACCTATCGAGTATTATACCGAGTGAATCGTGATTCTTTTGTGTGAATTACTTGAGAGTACGATTCTTTCACAGGAATCGACTGTTTGATTCAATTCTTGATTCATCTGCTTATCTCTACTCAGAATTTAGGGATTTTCAATTTGAGGATCAGTAAATTTTGCTTCAATGTGGTAGTGATAACTCATGAGTACTTTCCACTTGAATCATGAGATATTTTATCAAAAAATCGAGAAAAAAAAAATGGCTTAAAAAAATATTCGGTTATTTGGCCTATGTAACCATTTTGACATGTAAGGGTGAAGGTAATGTCAAAATGCTTATTATAATTGTAGGCTATTTTTTTTCTAGATTTTTTTTTATCAAATTATCTTATGATTCAAGTGGAAAGAAGCAATGGGGTATTCATGAGTTTTTAGATCCACATTAAATTCACAGAGTTTACCAAATCCAAGATTTAAAACATAAAATTTTCAAGAATTTTTATATAAATTAAGTTTAACGATACAATAACATGAAGCCATTCAGGAAGTTTTAGACGAGTATTATTTACCTGATAAAAAGGAATCTGTACCACAAACTATGAAAATTAAATTTGATCCACAAAAATTATTTATATTGGATAAATAACAAAACAAATTACATGAATTATATTACTTACTTTCAATTTCCATCACATTTTCACCTTCCTGCCTCTTAGGTTCAACTTCTATAGAGGCTGAAAAAAACAAAACACCAATTAATAGACTGACAATCCAACAATGCTTTTTCTTATTTATTTAATGATTTATATTTAGATATATAATATATCTTATGTTATAAAAATATATTTTATATAATCATGCTGACATACCTTCAGTTTCCATGGCACTTTCAACACTCTTTCTCTCAGACTCCATTTCTTGTGAATCTGAAAATGGACAAACTTTGAGAAATAAAAAAAATAAAAAAGAAATTCAATTCATTTATTATTATATCCTCATAATTATATATATATTTTAAAATACATAAACTCAAACAAATATTTATTTTTAATAATGTAGAGATGGTTGACCGTGATGATAATATGAGAAGGAGTTGGTCAGAGGATGCGGTCAAATGAATACTATAAATCAAAATAGTATTTTATTGTTTATGCTGAAGTTTCGACCCACTTTGTAGGTCTTCAGGGTTTCGCCTGCCAGTCTACCAACTGCTTTCTGCAGTGCCCGATACCACGCCCTGATGAAGTCCTACAAAGTGTGTCGAAACATCGGCATAAACAAAAAAAATACTATTTTGATGTATAATATTCATTTGCCCGCACCCCCCGACCAACTCCTTCTCAGATATTTATTTTGTATTTTTAAATAAATCTTTAGATTTTCCTCCTAAGAATACCAAAAGAAACATAATAACTATTAAATCCTTTAACTATATTTTTATAATTATAATGTAAGGATATATTACAATAGGATGACACAGCATCATAGCACGTCGTAATAACGGCAAGAAATAAAACAAGAGCAGGGGCACTTGAAGAACTTGAAGAAAAAGACCTAGGGCTACAAATGAATGAACAAAAGACTGTTTGCATGCAAACTTCAAGAACGCCGAATAGAACAGATGAATGTGTCGCAATAGGAAATCAGATCCTGAAAGCAGTTGAAACTTTTAAGAATTTGGGTGCTCTAATGACAGAAAGTAATGAAATGGCAGACGCTGTTTTGCCATGCGAATATTATTAAATTACTGCTCCCTCTCTCATAGAACAAAGATCACAATGTACGAGAAAGTTGTAACCTATATTTCTGAGCCTTGGGTGACCTCTAAGGCCTCAGAAAGGAAGCTAATCGCTAGGCAGAGAATGATTCTCTGCAGGATCTAACGTCTGGTGTGTGAACAGGAGCAGTGAAGAATTCCCACCAATAAGGAGCTGTGCGAAATGTGGTTCCTATGTCCAGAGATTCAATTCCCAAATGCCTGTTGGAGGATTGACATTGGTGGAAAATGTGGCAGAGGGAAACCACGCCTGAGATGGCTGGAGGACATGCTGGAAAGGATGGCAATCTGGAGATAGAGAATGCTCGTTCGGGATAGAGGAGAATGGAGGAGGATTATAAGAGAGGCTCATGTTCTTATAAGATCTGAGTGTCAAGAATAAATAAATAAATATTCTTGTCTAACGTAAATTCTATTTCTGGGAAGTAGGCAATAAACATATACATATATACTTAAAGGATTTTAAGAAGACTTTAGCGAAATTTCATCAAAATTTTCACAGCCATTTTTGTGCTACAGTTTATTTCTTGGCTGCAATTTTAAATAAAACAGCCAATGGTAAACGAATTGAAACCAGACTCCCACCTCCCACCTTTGATACAGTGCAAAAGGCTATTATTTTCTGGGAAAACACAACAATTCCTTCAATATCCGATTTCTTAACTATTAATGGTTACTATTACATCCTGCTGTCATAGTAATACGCTGTAGCTGATAGTTTAGGTCTACTATATATAAATCAATGCCAACATAAAAATCGACTATGAACATACCTGTATTTACTTCTTTGCTGGCAGCATTAGTCGGAATTTCTGCTTCATCCTCTTTGGCTGACTCTGCAGTTTCCTCTTTTTCTTTATTTTCAAGTACTTCCTCTTCATGACTCTTTTCTTCTGAAGATTTGGATACCTCACCTTCCTCTGTTCCTTTATTACAGCTAGTGTCATCCACAGCTTCGACAGCAGCATTCTTTTCAACAACTTCAGTTTCATTGGCGGAATGCTCTTCGACATTTTTATTCTGTTCGATTTCAGCTGGAACTATTGGAACAGAGAAAAATGAAAAGATATTTCTTTTATGAAAGTTTTGAAGCTGAAAATAATATTTTAAACTAAGAAGTATAAAATATACAACACTATGAGCAAGGCACTGACATAGCTGCGTCTCCACTCATAAATGCAGCTCTACCTCCACCGCTTTTCTTTAATTATAATTTTCTAAGCAAATATGCATCAGAAAAATTTTTGACTTTTAGCGTTGTTATAACATTTAATGACAAATAAAACTTGAAAATTCATCTGAGCACTCAGTTCCTTAACCAAAAAAAAATTTGCTTAATATTTTATGATAAGAATTATATATAAAGCCCATAACATACATACATCAATTGATATAAAGAACACTTAAGAAAGGTTTCCCTGTGAGAGTTTCACATTAGAACACTTAACGAACGAGATAAATAACAGAATAGAATTTATTTTCATATCAACGAAATTAGTTTTTTACAAATTATCACTTTTGAAACTCGCATAACAATTAAAATTTGATAACATTATAATCCATTTCTATTGTTATATTTTCAGTTTTTTTGGACAAATATATAAAAAAAGAAAATTTGTATTAGCAAAGTTTAATTTATAAGTTTTTTGATATTTTAAAAATTACAGGCAAATCTTAAAATGATAAAAGACTGGAAAGCCTTCAGTGCTCGAACCATGCCCTAACCCACATGTTTGGGTTGAAACGGCATAAATAAAATAATTTGAATAATGACTGCGTCGTGACTATTTATCACTCATTAAAATAATTAAGTTTATCTCTTTACCTTCAGGTACATTATTGGGTTGCTCATGCGGAGTTAGGATGTTATCACTGTTTTCTGTAGGTAATGCAGGTCCTAAAAGACAACACGGTATAAGTTCAACAATGAATTACTTTAATGTTAATAAATAATTAGTTAGTTTAATAATTATCTTATTATACCTTGCTCACTACCTGCAGCTGCCTCACTCTCTGCAGCTGCCTCAACTAAAATATGAATTTTAATTTAAATAATCAGATAGTAAATGGAATTTTATAACAATAATAAAAAGCTTTAAGTACTCACCAGAATGGCTTTTAACTGCCAACTCATTATCACTAGTGTTATAGCTACCAACTTCAACAGCAGCTAAAAAAAAAAGTTAAGTTAAAACATTAGAAATAAAAGTTATTTCCAAGATTTTTAGGTGAATTTGGTACTTGGATACATAATCCATAAATTTTTATTTATATTTGATGGCCTTGATTTGAAAAACTTTTTAATTAACAAAATTGGAACAATTGAGTTTTCAGTCAGAAATCACTCACAACAAAGTTGCCAATGTTCAAAATGAATTTTAAAGCAATCAATTAAAGAATAAAAAACAAGCAGTGTGACAGAAGGGTCAAACTGCAATATCCAGGGCTGCTAGGGCTTAGCTCATACCGTTGAATATCTTATACGTTTTTCTATCGCCCTCTCTCCTATGAATAAAAAAATCTGGAGCGGTGCGTACATCACACAGTTTTCACTTACCACCCTCTTCTAATTAGAAATAAGAATTTTATGACAAATTGAAGTGAAAGTAAAAGTTATAGAAGGTAAGAAACATTATTCAAATAACTAATTACCATATGTTTTTCATAGCCTTCTAATGTATTGCATTCTATTTCTTTGACACTAGCCATTTCCTTTCCCGACTGTATATTTCATTATTTATTTGATTATAATAAATTGTCACAAAATATTTTTAGTCCCACAAGAGTGCCACTGACTATGTACATAATATTGTCGGAGCCCGAATTATTAAAAGCTCATGTTACATATGGAAGACTGTTCCAATCATTCAGATGAACTCGGGCGCACTCGTATTTTTTGGTTCCTCCATAACAACTATTATCCATTACAATTTATTATTTCTCCTTTAGTTAATTATCAAATTCTTTCATATTCTATATTTAACTATTTTTTATATCAGAGATTAATGTGAAATGGTTAATTATTTAAAATAAAAAAAATTAAAGATACTTTAGAGGAAGACATTTTGAAAAATTCAGCCCCGCCAGGTTGCATTGATGAGGATAAAACCTACCTTACATCAAAAACCACTTAATAATACACCGACCTTGTGAGTTTATTCAAAGTCGTTTAAGAGCCATTTTTGAGAAAATCGTAAAAATTTCTTTAATCAGTGATATAAAGTGACACTTCTGGTAAGCCAATTTTGACGAAAAAGGTGCTGTAACATCCCAGGTATATAAAAACTTTAAATATGCAATTTCACCATCGTACCACTTTTCGTTTTTGAGCTAGACTGTTAACACACACAAACAGACCATTTTGCAGGACTTGGTTATTTGGACTCTTTACTAGTAAATGAGCTTATTTCTAAAAAAATTGTTTGGCCCAAAACTTCTTTGTACATAAAAATATTTAAGATTCAGAAAATAAAATAAGAGGTCTAGCAATATTACACAGAGAAGACAAAGAATCTTCTTCAATAGTCCTAAGGGAGATACTTATTTCCTGAGGTATATAAGTAAGATTTGATAACAGTATTTTTTCTCCCAACAATTATTCTTTATTTTATTATGACGTTTCGGGATCTACTTTCATATCCCATCTTCAGGCAGTAACTCATCCTAACATCCCCTTATTTTTTTATAAGATTTGTCATAATTATTTTTTTATTTTAATATTGTCATAATTCAAGGAATACAGTTATCTTACTTATATACCTCAAGACAAAGAATGGCATAATAGACAAATATACAGAAATATAAGCTGGATTTACAAGATTTGGAAGAAGATCAAAATTTGGAAGATGGTGAAACCAAAATGTAATGTAATAAATTTAAAAAACAAAAATGTCAACTTACGTTGCTCTTCTTCACTCTCACTCTTAATTGTAGGAACTTCATCTCCTACAGTAACTGAAAAACATAAAAATAAGTAACTCAATAATATCACAGAATATTATATTTTATTGTTTAATAGTGTATGATACTTTTTATTGTTGGCTAGTGATGGAAATCAATAATTTTGTTTTTTAATTGCACTAAAATCTATATCTTAAATTTATTAAAATCAACAATGAGCATCTAATATTGGCTCACGGTCCAAAACACATGAAATATAAGCAAACAACATAAATAAATTAATCCAACTCAGGGTTAATAAATCTATAATCTGAATACAAATAGTAAAAACATCAATTACTTACAGATAGGATTCTCCGTCACTTCATTTATGCTGTACCCATCATCCTCTGAAAGATTAAAAAAATATATACTTTAAGTAAACATCAGACAGCAAAGTCAGAATGGCAAAAGTCCCATGTTGTTACAAAATTCTTTGTACATAAAAAAAGTTTTATTTCAATTTCAGTATAAAATCTATCAAAAAAAAATTATTACTCAACTTTTTAAAATTATTATTTTCCTACTTATACAAGGTAAGAAAAGTGTTACGATCAGGTCAAATTCCAGATATACGTTTCAGAACCACTAGAGTTCGAAAAACACATTTCCAGCAATTGGTCTGTCTGGGCAAACATTATCTCGGGGACTAGTAGACCGATTTTGTTGCTTCTTATTTACTTAAAACTTTTGATTTTTTTTAAAACTATTTATTGGAAAACAAAAATCCCTGACTTTCTCAGAATAATGAAATTACTTGATTCTTCATATTCGTAAGGACCCTATATATTTCATGTTCAAGACAGAGATTTAGAAAACGAAACAATTTAGACAGAAGACAAATCAGAAAAAGTAAGATAAAAATGGATTAAAAGGTAAAGAAACAAACGTAACACCAAGTCAAAAAAAAAGAGATAAGAAATAAAATAAAAAGATAACAAAGACATCTTTTTTATGCCCTTACCTTCTTCGCTCTTCACTACAACGCTATCATCTTCACCAAGTGGTGCTGAAAAAAAAAAAGACAAACATATAACTCTATGTCCAATCCCAAGCGCTAACAGAATCCAACAAAGCTGATTAAAATCTATATGACTAAAATATTTAAAAGTATTCTACCTAATTCTCTAGACAATGAATAGAAAGCTACTCTACTACTACTAATACCATATTAAATCACAATCAAAATAGAAACTATATGAGTAAATTTGGCATTAGCGTAGAGAAATGAAACTTACGATTCATAATGACAATGTCCGAGCTTTTAACATCTTCATTTTCCTCCTCCATTTCCATCCGAGCGAGCTCCTCCTCGACTATAATAAAATAATTAATTTTTTTTTTTTTCATGACACTAAGCTATTAAGTTCAAAAGACATGACTGAACTATTTCAACACAAAATTAATTAAGGATAAATTTTAACGATCCAAAAAATGTAACCTATCTATCAAAGTAACATATTTGTGAATAATATTTAACAGAACGTAGAAAACTGGCCATACCTAATCTGGATAAGATAGATATGTTATTAATTCTATAAACATTTGACACTAAACTCCTGATTGAAAAGTGTTGAAAATTAAATTTATCTAATACACCCCCAGACTACCCTATAATATAATAGTATGAAAAAAGTCTATTTATCAACAGACACAATTGAAGGACCTCTTATGATGACTATGTTGTTCCCTAAATAAGTAGCCATTAGCTCGCTGTACAGGAAAATACTTCCTGATTAAAGGAATAAGACTTAGCTGTCTATAAACTAATACTGTCCTATTATTGTACTCATTGAGTTATTATTGACCTGATGGGTTGGTTTATTAGTAACATTGGTTTATTAAGAGTGTAATATAGAAAATTCATCACGGCAATAAACAACATTAACAACCAAGAAAATTTAAATATGTTTATTTTAATTAGAAATATCAAAGTTTTTTCTTGTATTATCGGAGGTGCCTAATGGTATGGTGCCTAATGTAAAGTTACTTGAGCAACCTTTAAACATTTCAACTGTTACTTATCTTTGAATCAGATGTTAATGATTATTTATTAGAAAATACCTTCTTGTATTGTTATATTGGATTAGTGTTATAATTAACTTGTGTTCTGTAAAATTATTACAATGTGTTTCACTTTTATTGATAATATTCCTTTACATTTACTTGAATATTCATACTAATGGATTCGAACTATCCCCTTCATTTACCTTTTTAATAATTTTCACTTTAATAAACAGCAATAGTTCAATTTTAAAAACCTAGACAACATGTGATAGGTATTTTTCATAATTTTTTCTTTTTTCTTGTTAACATTACGGATCTTGTAGATCTGTTCTTTTGCTGTCTTAACAAGCCTGCTCCATCCCTGCCTGTCTTGGGCTGTTTCTTTTCAGTAATCTGCATGCAGCTATATTGTATCTTTGTTGATTCGAACTATCCATCTGCTTTTTGGCCTTCCACGTGATATTTTGCCCTCTATTAAAATATTCATTGTTACATAGAGGCTTCCAGATGGATTGCTACGAGCTATATGCCCCACCCCTATCATACCCTATGCCATATGCTCCGCCGTACTTTCGTACTGTACCATATTGATTGACCCGATTCTGTATTCTGATTCCAGATAGCTCTAGTTATCGTGCGAATGATTTTTCTCTCAAATCTTTCAGTACCTTTTTTTTTGGGTGTTGGCTAGTGTCCAACTCTCACAGATATGTATATTAGAACTGGTTTATATCATACCTTTTTACACCCTTAATTTGAGATTTTTCTGGATTTTAATACCTTTGAAAGGTAAAAGAAAGGCTCTGTTTACCCTAGTTAAATGCAGGTCTATTTCTGATAGTTGGTCATTCACTGAGGTTATTGTGGAGCCACGGTATTGTAATTTTTCTATTTTCGGGAACGATTTCTCTTTTATGGAGATCCTGTTATTCCTGGTGGAATTTTCCACTTAATGTCATGTATTTTGTTTTGTCCTCATTTACTTGAACGATTTGTTATGCCTCTCTTATCAGTCTTAGCAAGTTTCTCAATATCGTCTTGATTACTTCCAAGGACAGCTATATCATCTGTGTATCCAAGGATTTTATGATTCATTTTAACGTGGACCCCTCCATTTTCGTGTGATGTTGTTCTTATCACCTTCTTCAGGGCTGATAACAACAATGATTGTAGTCTGTCTCCTAGCCGTAAGCCCGTTAGAACTTTGAATACTTCAGATAATTCTCCTTGTATCAGGGCTCGACATTTAGAGTCATTTATAAATGCCCTAGTCAATCTCACTAACTTACCAGGAACCACCAGTTCAGTCATGATTTTTGAAAGAGTTCCTGTTCACAGAATCGCAGGCTGCTAGGAAATCGACAAATAGGGTGTGGACGTCCTGAGCTACTTTCCATAACTTTTCGAGTAGTTGTTTAATAAGAATGAAGATCTGGACTAGTGTGCTCCTCCCTTTTCTGAATCCAACCTTGGTGATCGCTTAATATAATTTCGTAATACGGATATATCCAGATTAGTAAGATATTTGTCATTATCTTATAGGCAACTGGAAGAAGTGCTATGCCTCTGTAATTACTACACTCTACTACTACTAATACACTCAACATATACTAATGTAATTAGTACATTTCTAGGTCAATATCAATTAGATAAGCCATCTGAATATGGGGATAATTCCCCAACTTAAAAACAAAATAATCTATTTTGATTTTTTGACTTATAAGAACCGATTTATTGATCAAATACAAAAAAAATATGATAAAAAACAAATGTATGCCCTAGGCCAAGAAAAAAAAAATCTTGCTCTACAAATGAGACTTTAGGTGTGAAATGAGCTTTCTATGAGAAAAAAATCTATGCAGCAAATGTTTTAGGAACCTCATGTGAGTGTAATTTGCTATGTTATGAAAAAATCTTTCGCGGGCCGTATTGTAGGCTCTTATGGGCGTAATTTGAAGATCCCTGACCTACGCTAAAATATATAAGTAAACAAATCAGCAATTATTCCTTAGACATTGCTTCAATATCTAACTTGTTCAAAATACACATTTAAGATTTTTAGTTTGATTAAAAACATAGCCGTAGCAATCAAACTCAGTAAAAATTTTTATTTTTAATAATTCACACACAAACTAAATTGGAAAAAATATAAATCGACAAAGTAACTTACTGTCAGGAGTTTCGGTTTTTACTTCATTGAAGCCTTCAGAAGGACTAACTGAAAAAGACAAAAAAAATCATGAATAATTTTTATATTAAAATATTTGTTATTAGTTCTTAAAAATGATCCATAGTTTAGTTGAAAGTGTTTCCCCTTCAAGTAGGCAATTCTTTGGTAATCACACAGTAATTTAAGAACTAGGAAATGAAGAAAAGGAAAATAGGTTCATCAACAATATAGATTTATAAATGATTTTTTTTTTTTGTTAAGTAATAAATTTTAAAAATTCATTTTAGAAGTATTATAGAATTTCTCCATTATAATTTCGATTTCCAAATTGTAATGCTATTTTTCTATTGTCACCAGGAGTACATTAAAACAAAATTTTATTGTAGTTATATGTTTGCAACATGACTTGAATTGGAAAATATTAAAAATTGCTTAACACAATTATTAATACTAAATGTAAGAAAAGTTAATACACACTACCTGTAACTACATCATGTGAAACAAGTGTTTCAGAAAGGGGCAAAATTTTCATCTTTGTTTTCGAAAGATTCCTCCTGGATGGTTTAAATTGCACAGTCTCTTTGGTAGATCTTATCTGAAAGAACAATAATAATTTCACCATAAATGCCAAAATATTTGAAAATATAACAACAATAAGAATAGACAGAAAGAATTAATCAAGTTGTAGTTTACAATTGCTATACGGTTTCATTAACAATAACGACACCGTAATGGTCAACTGCAAACAATTTAATGTCAGTCCTATTCGGCACTCGTCAATACACTAATCATAATGACAAGCAATTTGAAGGACTAAAATAAAGAAAAATATTTTTGAAATTTCACTTGGTTAGAAAATTTTAGAAGACCAGCTCCAATTAAGAGCTAAAAACTAGGCTAAAACTATAGCAAAAATTAAATAAGAGTCTTTCTGTTTTTGTTAAATAGCAATAAGAATAAACAGAAAGAATTAAAGAAGTTGTAGTTTACAATTGCTGTACGGTTTCATTAACAATAATGGTCAACTGTAAACAATTTAATGTCAGTCCTATTCGGCACTCGTCAACACACTAATCATAATGACAAGCAATTTGAAGGACTAAAACAATGATAAAAGATTTTTTAAACATATTACGGAAACATAAGTAAATATGTATATTTACAAAAAAATAATAAATATGTACGGAATATGTTAGTAAACTTGTAGTACACAATTGCTGAGTAGTTTCGATAATAGGAATGAACCACCAATCTTCGAATGCGACCACTTTATTTAATGTCAGTCCTATTCGGCACTCATCAATACACTAATCATAATGACAAGCAATTTGAAGGACTAAAATAAAGAAAAATATTTTTGAAATTTCACTTGGTTAGGAAATTTCAGACAACCAGCTCTAATGAAGAGCTAAATACTAGGCTAAAACTATAGTGCACAAGAAAATAAGAGTCTTTCTGTTATTGTTTAATAGCAATAAGAATAGACAGAATGAATTAATAAATTTGTTGATTACAATTGCTATACGGTTTCATTAACAATAATGACACCGTAATGGTCAACTGCAAACAATTTAATGTCAGTCCTATTCGGCACTCGTCAATACACTAATCATAATGACAAGCAATTTGAAGGACTAAAACAATGATAAAAGATTTTTTAAACATATTACGGAAACATAAGTAAATATGTATATTTACAAAAAAATAATAAATATGTACGGAATGTGTTAGTAAACTTGTAGTACACAATTGCTGAGCAGTTTCAATAATAGGAATGAACCACCAATCTTCGAATGCGAACACTTTAATGTCAGTCCTATTCGGCACTCATCAATACACTAATCATAATGACAAGCAATTTGAAGGACTAAAATAAAGAAAAATATTTTTGAAATTTCACTTGGTTAGAAAATTTCAGACAACCAGCTGTAATGAAGAACTAAATACTAGGCTAAAACTACAGCACAAAAGAAAATAAGAGTCTTTTTGTTATTGTTAAATAGCAATAAGAATAGACAAAAAGAATTAATGAAGTTGTAGTTAACAATTGCTACACGGTTTCATTAACAATAATGACAACGCAATGGTCAACTGCAAGCAATTTAATGTCAGTCCTATTCGGCACTCGTCAATACACTAATCATAATGACAAGCAATTTGAAGGACTAAAATAAAGAAAAATATTTTTGAAATTTCACTTGGTTAGAAAATTTCAGACAACCAGCTGTAATGAAGAGCTAAATACTAGGCTAAAACTACAGCACAAAAGAAAATAAGAGTCTTTCTGTTATTGTTAAATAGCAATAAGAATAGACAAAAAGAATTAATGAAGTTGTAGTTTACAATTGCTACACGGTTTCATTAACAATAATGACAACGCAATGGTCAACTGCAAGCAATTTAATGTCAGTCCTATTCGGCACTCGTCAATATACTAATCATAATGACAAGCAATTTGAAGGACTAAAATAAAGAAAAATATTTTTGAAATTTCACTTGGTTAGAAAATTTCAGACAACCAGCTGTAATGAAGAGCTAAATACTAGGCTAAAACACAAAAGAAAATAAGAGTCTTTCTGTTATTGTTAAATAGCAATAAGAATAGACAGAAAGAATTAATGAAGTTGTAGTTTACAATTGCTATATGGTTTCATTAACAATAATGACACCATAACGGTCAACTGCAAACAATTTAATATCAGTCCTACTCGGCACTCGTCAATACACTAGTCATAATGACAAGCAATTTGAAGGACTAAAACAATGAAAAAAGACTTTATGAACACTTTGCGGAAACAGAAGTAAATGAGTAAAAACGTATTTTTACAAACAAATTAATAAATATGTACAGTAAAGTTGTAGTTCATAATTGTTGAGCAGTTTCAGTAACAAGAACGAAACTGCAATCTTAAATTGCGACCACATTGATCTCTGTGAAAAAGATTTGGGTGATGGAAGTAAATTCTTTAAAATAAACAGAAATTATCTTTCTGAATAATCAATAAACAACTATAACACACTGCAGCAACCAAATTAAACTTTGTTAAAATATACAGAATATTTATAATTTAAAAGAACGGATAATTGAATTAGTTAAGTTGTAGATCACAATTGCTATATGGTTTCATTAACAATAATGAAACTACAATAGTCAATTATAACCATTTTAATTTCAGTCCTGTTCGGCACTCATCAATGTACTAATAGCAATGACAAGTAATTTGAAGGACTAATACTTAATATTTATAAAAAAATATATCTGTTCATAAATTAATGATTGGTCCAATAAGATGACCACATAGGATGTCTGATTTGGTAGAGGCATCAGGAGCCAAAAGCCATCAAAAGAAAAAAAAAGTCAATTCAAGAGATCATTGTAGCATAGACGCACAGACCAATGACTAAAAATGAGATTTTTTGGACTCACGATGACATTAGTGCAATAATTTCCTAGCTTAGTAGTGGTGAGAACGGGATGGCCAACCATGTAGGGGTGTGGGGGGTCCAAGAGGGCTCTGAACGTTATGAATTTTAAGGGGAACCTCAAGATAGCTATCAGGGGTTGGCAAAGAGGACCACGATAGGGCTCACTTGCTGGACTAGTACTCCTATCAAATACTTCGTAGTGATATGAAAAATATGACATCTTATTTTCAGCCATCGGCCTGTTTGTCTATGCCATGATCATCTCTTGAACGTTCAATTATCTTGAACCTTCCTCTCGTTAAGAGGATCGCTCAAATTTGTTGTTGCAATAATTAATTATATATGATAATCTGGTAAAAGCAAATGTTAATCAGGTAATGAATGTTAATAAAGTAGAGAATTTAGTTCTAAAGAAGTATTTTTGAGAGTGAATAATTTGATGGTGTATTTAATGCCTAATTTATGACTTCAATAATAGTACAATTTTTAAGAAAAATGTTTTTGTACCAGCGTTTTGTACACAATCTTTTTCAAAATGCTATAAAACTTATTGAAGATGACAAAATTTCGGTAATCAAAGTAGCAAACTTAATTTGCCGATGCCCAAGATTTGATCTTTTCCTTATCAATATATTTTTTAATAACGATAAATTATTAAAAAGATCATTTTTGGGTTGTATTAAATCTAAACAATGGTTGTTTAATTCTACAACTGATCGACAATGAGAACTTTGCTAAACAGTTCTCAACAATTATTTGGTATTACTAAAGTTTAAAATTATTAAATTAAGAAAAATAATATAAAACTTATATCCTGGGAAAATAACGGCTGTTACCATATATTCTTTTCCAGTTCCCTAGCTTGTTGTGCACTCTTTTTAAAAAACAGGATTTTCTTAAAACATCATGGGACACGTGACAAATTAAAGTTAAAATATCAGCACACAAGAAAATAAGTCTTTTCTGTGTGTAACTTTTTCATATTTGATTCCCAACCAACTTCTACTAATTGATCTAAGATCAATGAAAAACATCAACCATTATAAAAAAATTTTGGTGTCGAAAGTGAATACTTTCAAATGGAAAATATCTTTCAAATATTCAACAGATAAATATAGTAAACTGCATAAACCATATTAAACTTTTCGCTATTATCAGTTAAAATATACATAACATTATTTATAATTTAAATAAACAAATATATATCGAATGAGATAGTAAAATTGTAGTTCACAATTCAAAAGCAGTTACAATAATAGGATTGATACTGCAGTGTTTAATTGAGACCACTTTAATGTCAGTCCTGTACGGCACCCATCAATGCACTAACCGCAATGATAAGCAATTTGAAGGACTAAAATAAACAAAAATATTTTTGAAATTTCACTTGGTTAGGAAATTTCAGATAACCAGCTCCAATGAAGAGTTAAAAACTAGGCTAAAAGTACAGTGCACAAGAAAATAAGAGTCTTTCTGGTATTGTTTAATAGCAATAAGAAGAGACAGAAAGAATTAAAGAAGTTGTAGTTTACAATTGCTATACGGTTTCATTAACAATAATGACACCGTAATGGTCAACTGCAAACAATTTAATGTCAGTCCTATTCGGCACTCGTCATTACACTAATCATAATGACAAGTAATTTGAAGGACTAAAACAATGAAAAGAGATTTTATAAACATATTACGGAAATAGCCTTGATGAATTATCGCTAAGAGAGTAAACAAGTAAAAACCACTTATAACATGATCAAATTTAAGTACATATTTCTACTCACTGTCATCGATTTACTCGGCTTCAGCCTTGTTAGTAATGGAATTTCTATGACTTTTTTTAATTCATGATCGATTTCTTCTGTAGATGGTCGATTGGCAACTGAGAAAAAAAATAAAAATTAAAAAAATATAGTACAAGATTCAATCATACTACTCATTACAATATATATAGAATGATTAACTGAAGCAATTACATTAATATAAATAATTAGACAGTAAAATTGATGAATAAATATTGTAGAATTTAAAAATATAATACTACCTACCTATAGGCTTACTGGGTGTTTTACTTTTTGAAACCGTTTTATCCATTAAGCATTCTAGGGGTACAAGGCGAATTACCGGCTGCAACTGAAAATAAAGAGAATATAAACTTGTAGACAAAATTAATTAAATGAAAATATTTGTTATTATCCTGGGACTATTGTATCTTTAAACGTACAGATATTTAAATAAGGAAACTAAAATAACGTAAGTAAACAAAACAGTTCCTGGGGAACTTAAAAAATTGTCTTCTATACATTTCATATGTACATGCATCACTTTAATAATGTAACAATATCCATTATTTATTTTTTATATTGGAAGATAATAGCAACCGATATTTAACTGCGGTTCAACTGGAATTTGAATGATCTCTAGTTTATCTTCTTATCTCTAATTAACAGTAGTTTGAGTGAGTTGATGCGAATGTATTTGTGAAAATGGACAAAATCGAGTATCAAGCTGTCATTAAATAATTGTTTTTGAAAGGCAATACGCCTACACAAATCAAAGATAAGTTGGATTCTGTGTATGGGAACTCTGCACCATCATTTACCACAGTGAAATTTTGGGCAGCTGAATTAATGTGGCTGTAAGAGCTTGGGAGACGATGAACGTTCGGGACGTCCAAAAACTGCAACTACCGACAAAAACATAGCCAAAGTTCACCAAATGGTGCTAGAGGACCGAATTAAAGTGAAAGAGATAGCAGAGGTTATGAATATGTCAAAAGAACGTGTTTGTTACATATTAAATCAACATTTAGTTATGAGAAAGCTGTTCACACGTTGAGTGCAGTGTTTGCTCACGTTAGACCAAAAATGGGTTAGAATGAACATTTCCAACGCTTTGTTGGCGCAGTTTAGGCACCGATTAATTACTGTAGATGAAACTTGGATACACCATTAAACGCCCGAAACAAAAATACAGTCCAAACAGTGGAATGCAAAGGGAAAACTGGCTCCAAAAAAGCAAAAACTGTTTTCTCGGCTGGGAAAGTGATGGCGACTGTTTTTTGGGATAGACGTGGGGTATTTTAATCGACTACCTTCAAAAAGGAAAACGGGTTACAGAGATGGGAGAAGTTTGTTGTTGTTAAATTTGTTAGGTCTAAAAATTTTCAGTACAAAGATTTGAAAAGATTAAAAAGTACGAGTTCGCGTCTCGGTGCCGGATGAGATTTTAAATTCCCCGCCCTCATCCTCAGGTTCGGGAAAATCCCGTATAGCCTAAAAGGCGAGGTAGGGAATAACAGGAAAAAAAAAAAAAAAAAAAGCGATCTTCCGAAGTTATATTATTATTATTTGTAAAATATAAGAGAGAGATGTTACAATATCCTATATTATTATGTACTATGTCTACAATAAAACCCAGGCAACACAGGAAATATCTTTGATGGATTATTGCAATTTGTTATAGTCATCATCCGTCACCACACATAGAATAAAAATAAATCTATTTACTAACGTGTTAAAGCAGGTTTAGTATAATATCAGACAAGAGGATATAAATCTTAAACTTCTAAATTAATAGAAACAATTGTACTTACCCCGGATGATTCAGTCTTCCTTTTCTTGGCAGATCCAGAAGGTGTCTTGGACACCCCTGAAAATAGGAAGAAAGTAATAGACGGAATATGATAAAATTGATATTTGATTATTGATTTGATTATTTTTTCACCAATTCCTAACTTTTCTCCAACTTAGGTTCAAATCAAAGGAACTTTTTTTTTCTTACATAAACATATCAATACAGCATCATTTTTCCCCCAACTATCCTCCAACTTTTAGACAAACGAAATGAGTCATTTTTGAAATTTTGGTTTATCAAAAGAGAATACATTTGAGCATATTTAAGAAAAATAGGAGGTAGAATTTCATATTAGACTACCAAGGGAACAACCCAAACTATCCTTGATAATTTCATCCGAATCAGATTCAAAACAAATGGAAAGACACAAAACCAAATCTGTTCCTTTATGTCTAAAAAGCATTTCAGATGTCAACATTTTTAAGAAAATCGGAAAATGAGAGCAAACAATTTTTCAACTTTCCGCATGAATACAAAAGCTTCTCTACTTTGTGTAGTGCTGAAGAAAAATCAATAATCAAAGGCATTTTTTCTTAATGATAATTTTGGGAAAATTTTAAAATCTATCAGTATAATGTGGTACTTACAGTTGGCCAATTTTGACGAAAAAGTTACTCTAACATCACTGGCATACATATGCCTTAATTATGTAATGTTAGTTCAGTTTTTGAGATGGACTGTTCAAATTAACATAGATCAACATGCCAAACTTGGTTATTCGAACTCTTGGAACCTCAAAATAAATGATAACTCACATTCAAATATTTTCACAATCACAATACTTTCCCTTACTACATATTTTATAAATAGGTAGGTGATAGTAAAACTATAAATACATTGATCAGTAAAAGATATCTAATCATGAGAAAACATTTTTCTGAACACCTTTTCTTATCTAAAAGTTTCAAATAACAATGGTGCCTTACCATTCAAACCTTTGAGACTCTATTGATTATCTAAAAAATATTAAAAGACTTGTAATTTAAACATTTTTATTAATTTTTTTATACCTGGGTTATGAACCTGATTCAATTCATCATCAGTCCAATAATCATCAAGAATAGTTGACCTCCTCTTCACACGCTGGTAACAAAAAAATAATACATTAATGTAAAAAAGACTTTTATTGATTCTTAAAAGAATATACTAATAAGAAGACTGATAATTTGATAAAGAGAAATTACAACACAAAATCACAACAATTATGTTGTTGGTTTAATGCAAAAAGTTACTAAATGCATATTTATGGAGCAAATGTTTTAAGCACATTTTTGAGAATTTCAACTTGGTTTACTGATACAAAAATACAGTAATTGTATAAAAATAGTATACTGTCTAATCTTCACTCCACTTCTTCAAGAAAGCCAAAATCCCATGGTATACAACTTTGTCAAACTTTGCACTGCTCCTTTTTGGTCAAAATCGGGACGTTAATTAGCTTTAATCCCATTGCTGCTTTTTAACTACCGCTTGCTTGATAAACACTCTCAATGGATCCTTTACAGTTAAGGTAGGGGCCATAGCAGATAGTTCAGTCCCGTCTCTCTACTTTCGAAAATACTCTACTTATTGTCAGGAATCCATTTATTGTGTGATCATGAGATCTTGTGCCACCGAAGAAAGTGGAGTGATACCAAATACCATAACTTCATAAAAATGACCCAAACCCTCTTGTTTATCATATGTAGTTAATGGATTTCCATGTCAGGAAATGAACATATAGTTCATGGATAGTCAAGGACACAATTTTCTTTTTTGACAAATGGAAAATTCATCAAAGTTTTTAATTATTGGATGTTATGAAACGTCATTTAATGACTTTTTACATTACACCGCCGATATATACTGAGACGATTACAGCCAACACTTTTTAAAAATCAAATTATAACTAGATATAAAAACCTGTACCACTACAACCCATAAAGGGTCTGGGGTTTAGTACTATTTATTGAAAGCACTGTTTCTAGGTCAATGGTTGTGCGAGGAGGTGATTTAACCGATATCAAGCTCAACTATTAAGGGTACCCACTCTATAGAGGCTGGGTGTGCCCCAGGAGGGTCTTCCGACCCAGGGTCGCCCCACAACCAATGAAACGGATAAATAAATTTTCTGCCATGAGCCGGGGTTCGAACCTGGGACCTTTTCATTGGAAGCTCAGTGCCCTACCACTGAGCTATCCCACTCCCTAACTAGATATAAGGCCACATTAAATTATGCAACAATCACTAATAAAGTCATTTAAAGAGATGTTAATCATATTGAATTACCTGCGGATTCCTTTTGCCTGATGACTCGGCAGGATCTTTAAAACGTATTCTAACATTACTTTTAGGAGTTTCATTTTTCACATTAACAACTGTGTTTGTATTCCTCACGATACTTTTAGAAGAGGCTGATTTTTCTTTCACAACACTTGTAATACTCTTAACGATAGGTTTAGGTGTTTCTTGCTTTTCTTTTCCAGGCAATATAGCATTTTCTTTTTCCAGTTTTTCGGCAGGAAAAATAGATGGAATTGTTCCAGGCCTGAGAATTGGTTCATCACGCAATAATCTCCGCACATTGCCATTAGACAGTTTAGTTTCAGTAAACCAAAGCACTTCTGAGGGCAAAAAATGAGAATCACACAGTTTGTCTTCAGGAGTGAGCACATTTTCACCTTTGGGGACCACCCTTCTCCATTTTTCCAGTATATTCTTATCCTAAAAAATATTAACATTACACAAAAGAACAGAATACAAACATATAATCAAGATTCTGAAAATAAATACCTCAGGTGCTGAAAAAAACTTAACCAAGTCAGAGTCCTTTTTCCTTTTTAAAGATTTAAGTCCATTTGGACAATCGCGAACGTAACAGTACATTTCAAAGAATAAACATTTGTTGATTTAAATCAAATTAAAGTCAATGAAAAGTTAAAAAACTAATAAACACAAAAGGCAAAGAGCATTTTGAAGTATGATCACAAGATAAACACCACAGTTAATGAGGAGGTAACTATATCGGACTTAACTTAAGTTGAAAACTTAAGTAAAATGGGAGGGAAAAATGAATGATTATCAAAATTCATAAATTTGACAAATAGCAGTAAAAGGCGGTTCGTTTAAATATAGCTTCAGAGCTAAAAATGTGTAAGTTGTTACTGAACTAGCCCACGCTAAGCTAGAACAGCAGCGCTCACTGCTTGACCAGTCTTGTCGTCATTACTCAGTTAATATTTTGATCTTTATTTTATTTTTCCGTATCACAATTCTCATAAAAATACCTCCCTCTTATTGAATTTTATAGATAATTTCTTAATAAAAGTATATAAGTTATACAACACCTTTGATTTACGATCGTTTTCAGGTTACGACTTAATGGAAATAACGAAAACTCGTTCTTTTTATGTTTCCAAGTTTTCAAATATTCCAGAATACTATAAGTAGTTCTACCAATAATGTGCGAACCCTTTGAAAAGCTATATTATTAATTATGGCGTTGTTTTCAATTCTTTATCTATGCAGTCATGGCCGTTTTTACTTCGAATCCACGTCAATACGCACGCTGCATGATTATCTTGTCTAACATTTTCAGCATACAAGCTTAAAACTATTAGTAATTTCTGCTTAGATTTACTACAAGTGAGTATAAAAGATGAATGTTTTCAAGCATTGATTGAAAAACAAAACAGACTCGTTTCATATTAACATGTCAACGTGTCTTAAGCGTTTTGTTAAGACGTTTTTAATTTTTTATTTCACCTTGGATTTTATTTAATAAACAATCTGAGTATCTAACACAATTCTTCATTACTAAAATATTACTTGGAACTTGCCTTATTAACGCTTTAATATTTTAATATATTTCTGATAAGTATGTATAGAAGTAAAAAAAAATAAAAATATTCGTTTACTTATTTTATAAATGAACGTTTTGAACTAATAGAACAATCTAACATACTTGACCTTCAAGAGTTAATCCTGTTTAAAACCTCTGAGCGAAATCTAATAAAACTGTTTAAAAAATGAAATAAACCATGAATTAGATTGGGTTATGGAAGATTAGTCTGTATCAACAGTGTATTAAGTGTTGCTACCATACATACTAAAACTAAATATCCTACATTATAAATATGAAAAAGTTTGTAATGAAAAACAAGGTACACATAAGCCATTGTTAAAAAATATATGCACACCCTTTTAATAATAGTTGAATAGAAAGATAAACGGCAAAGATAATCTCCCAAAGTTGAAAGAAGGATACTCTTCATTTGTCCTTTAGTGAACAGTATTAAAAAACATCCACCGTTTTGCCTAGTGTAAAGTGGCATTAGTAATAATTTGTTGAAATTAGATATTATTCTTATACACATAACAAAAATATCTGTACTAATAAAACTCCTGAAGGGTCTTGGGTTCAGTACTTGGTAAGACAGAACATTTTGCAAGTCAACCGTATAGTATAGAATGATATGGCCAGAATCTCAACCAATTTTTTTACTAATTAAGGGTAAAAACTTTATTCAGGATGGTTGTGTCTGACACCAAGAGTGTTGACCGCATCCACGGCTGAGAAATATCTATCTACCACAACTGACCTCGAACCCGGAGCTTGGAGATAGGAGCACTCAACCTTACTCACATTATTCATAAGCGCAAGATTATCTATCTTGTATAAATTAAGATTGTTACAAATTTTTCATAAATTGGTACAAAACTTCCAGTTTTCTAACTGTCAGATAATACATAGCAAATATATGCAAATATTAAAGAGGTGATATGCCAAATCTTCAAAAATATTTAATTTAATGTTCAATTATATTTCCTTAATTTAAGCATTTTTCTCATTTATCCTAATACCTACATTTAGAAATAAAGTGGAAAACAATAACACTTGCAAACAAAATCTTTACAGTCCTGGATTTAAATTTATTTTAGTAAATAAATACTCATATATTCTTATACTCATAAAAGTAACGAAATCATCTCTATGTTATATAAACATTTTTTTAGTGGCTGTATAATGTCTTATTTTATATATACAAAGCTGGTCAGACCATGGAAAAGATGCCAGTGGGACAGACCGTAACGAAGTCACCAAACTTCTTATTATCAGAATTATTTTTCCCTTATCATGGTTATAAATTGGCAATCAAAATAAATATAATTACATAATGATTGGCAATAAGACACGATTTATAATATAGATTTTTAAAGAAATTAAAAATTTGTCCGAACCCAATCGAAGTACTGAACCCAAGATTTAAGTTTTGTATATTCGAGCGCCTGATTTGGTTAATGTGTTCTTTGTGGTTGACTCTGGATTGAATACCAACATTTCCACAAAGATAAATCAGAAAAGCAATGATTAAATAAAGCGGATTGCTATTCTTGCTCTAGCTAATATGCATTAGTTCTAAACCCAACTTGGAGCGGGGTAGCTCAGTGGGTGAGCACTGACTTCCAAAGCTCAAGGACTCAGGTTCGAATCTGGTTGATAATTAGTCATTTTTTCACCAGCGGTGAACCGACCATAGGGTCGGGATACTCTCCTGTGGCACACCCAGTGGCACACCCTCTATCAAGTGGGTACTCATAAATAAATAATTAATTAAGGGGGATAACTTGACTGTTGAGCGTGATATCGGCCCAATCACTTCCCTGCACAACTGTTGGTCTTGTAACAGTACTTCTTCACATGGTACTGAACCCAAGACCTTTCATGAGTTGTGGTACAGTATTTTTTTTTTTTTTCTAAACACAACTGAAAGCTCAGAATCAGTTTTCTGAAAAAGTACGGAACAATAATTTATTTATCATGTTTCATTTAAGAAATAACATTGATTCTAGTTAAACTTTGGTCTGAAGTAAATATTTATACTAATTAAAATAATTAGAACACAATAAAAGTTAATTTTGTAGATCCTGTGGTGTAGGTAAGTCAAGTGGCGCCCGGTGAAATTTCAAGAATGTCGTCCCCCATCCACAATTCCCCAGCCATTCTATTGAAATAATGTCAAATTTTCAGCCCATTCTATTGAAATAAAGTTGAACCTCCTTAACTCGAAAAAATACACTGCGTCCTCTAGTACATTCCAACACTTTTTCCCCATTTTAAATTCTATATCTCCGACAAATGTAAAAATAGCTCGAATACTGTATGGTGGCAAAAAACCACAGTGACTGCAAGAGAAATCTAAATAAAATACTCCTTATAGTCCGGGAGATAGCTAGTTTTTTATTACAACAAATGCAGCACAAGGCTTGATTTGCAGATATGGAAGATCTCATTTAGTTTGAAGAAAAAATGGGTAGATTCTCAGGATAGAGTTTGCGTTTAAAATTTAAAAAAAAAAATCATGAAATTACATCATTAATAGCAGACTTCACAGTAGGGTCTCGCATAAAATCTGATGAAATATCTTGGTGGGTTGTACAAACCTCACAAACTTAATCTTCTAAAACTTAGGTACGAAAAAACATTAAGATACGTTTAGATATTTTACAAATTATGGGGAACACAAATATTTAAATGGTTATTTTCCTTTGCTAGTGTTTTTCTTTCTTGTTTTTGATGTCTTCCATCTGCTGTCGGTAACAAGATAATTAAAAACATGGTTGGCTTAGCGCTAATGTCGCTGTAGGTTTAGGTAATTGTGCTTTCCGGTGTTTGTGGAATCTCTAAACGCAGCTTTACGTCATAAGAAGGACAAACGTTTTACTTATAGATATGATCCAGAAAATACATCATAAAAATTTTGGTAGTTATTTGCTTCTTCCAGAGAACAACTTTCAAAAATAATGATCGAAATTAAGTTATAAGGGCCACGCTTGTGAAATAGTTTATGTAAATCTTATAACTTCCTAAAATAGTCTTGCATACAGTTTAACAAAATATTTTGATGTTTGGCCATCCAGACCAACTTAATTAAAGTTAAAAAAAAATGACGTCATAAGCAACATGTTATGTAAACATGTATCGACATGTAGTCGATGTTATATTGGTGAAGTTGGTTCAGGAAATACTTCACCAGAAAAATACTGTTAGTTATTTGCCTCTTCTTGACAACTTTTATCGATAAGCGTGAATTAGTTAATTTTAATAATTTTTATCTAAATTTTACGCATGTTTAGACTTTACAGAAGAGACTCCCATAAAATTTTAGAAAATATTTTTGTATATTTGACTAACTTTATAATTAAACTGACATTTGCGTCATATGCAGCATGAGGGATTTTGCATGAAGATGTGCTATTAGGAATAATCCAGGAAATATCTCAAAACATTATCTTCAGGCAAAAATAAAGTTTGTATATTGAATGAAATTTCGGTGTTAGCTGATAAAATGACTTTTCAATCTTGTGACAACACTGATGTGTTATCTCAAAATGTCATAAAATACCTTGGGACCAACCAAAGATTTACAATTTATAAAAATAAGAAAACATTAGGAATACCATAATGTTTATAACATTATCATCTTAATGTCTTCATACTTATAATAACAAAAATCATAAAATGCTATATATTTTATAGTTTACTATAGCTATATATTTTAAAAAAAAAAAAAGACAAGCTTTCGGAAATACCTCAGTTCTTGAAGTTAATGAAAATCACACATTTCCACAAAGAATGGTTCTTGAAAATAAAAATGTGGATTGTTTTTTTTTTTTAGCCCCAAAATGTTAATAACAATTGCAATGACAGCCACGGAAGGGAGTAATTACTTGATCAAAGTTTTCGATCACAAGTTTATACTTTGAACGTTACTTTTTATCTGTTCACTTTTCATCAAATCTTATCTTACCATAATCAGGATTTCGTCTGTGAATTCGAAAATTTAATCTGACATGTTTGTAGAGAGTCGTCATCGAGATGCAAAACACACTCAAAGGTATTCATGATTAAAGCTGGAAACAAAATAGAAATAATATGAAAAATAAATTTAATAAATTACTCACATAACGTACATTTTCTGCAAGGTCCAGCTTAAAAATCACAAAAAATAAAAAATCAATCTTCCAGGATGTCATTTCTTCTTGCTCATGAAAACTCTTATTTTTTTTAAATATAAGAGCCAGTTAGAAAAAAATAGTTCGATGTATTATGACTAGAGTCACTGAACAGGCAATACGAAATGGTTCAAAAACGCGAATGATCCACAAAAGATATATTTTATTTTTCCTAGGTAATCAAGATTTCATAGTAGCCGAAGTTTATTATCACGGTTCCTGCAGGAAACATTTGAGCCAAAAGGTTACTTAAATTCAAACTTATTACTTAGTACTTATTATACTCAAGTATTAGTAGCGATACAGAGACGTTAATAAAATAGTATTTTCATCACTGAACGAATTCGTGAAAGAAAAACATTGAATGCCAATCAAGATATATTTTTTAAAAACTTATAAATGTATTGAAGAATATTACTAGGCCCTGAAAAATCAAGGCAATTCGTACTTCATAACTTTGAGGAAAACAAAACAAAAACTAAATGTTAATTGTTTTAGTGGTAGGGGTGCCTACAAGTAATTTCAATGCAAGTTACCCCAACAACGTTCTTGAGGAGGCTTATTTCAATAGTGTTTTGAATTTTTGATGGTGACACATTATGAGAGATTTTAATTTTCTGAATGTAAAGTATCAAACCAGGAGAAAATATGTAACATAAATTATCTACTATTTTTCTAATTATGCTTTTGCTTCCACTGTTCTTAAGATGTGAACAAAAAATATCTTGAGAAAGAGGTTCATGACACATCCACCTCGAAGGGGGAGTAGGCACTCCCACTAACAGGTGAATCTACAGGGAAAAGGGCTTTCAGGCTGAATTTTATCTGATAATGATAAGACTTGAATCCATATTATTTCTTGAAGAGTTAAATAACTAAAATACTTGCCTCCCTCTCCAAGGTCGATGGCACATAAACTTCCTCTTAAGAAATTTGATTGCCCAAGTCTTCTTAAATAAACAGTTACAATCGTGGTCTGTTTCAGGTGTTCCTCCTTATATCCTGATTTGAAAGTTCTTCCGTAAGAAAACCCACAAAAATTCACTACCCAGGCAAAATGTGCCCATCAAAACTATGATCTAATAAAATATTTTGATAACTAGTAGGCCCGTGCGTAAAATTCGCACAGCATATTGTAATCAAATGCCAAATTAATAAGATAATGCAACTTATCAAAAGATTAAGACATCAAATGTTACTTTATCGATAAATATAATCCACAAAGCAAACAAAAATTAATTTAAATCTTCATTTTTGTTTGGAACCAACATGTATACAAATTTCAGTAAGCTATATATTTGCTAAAAATTGTCCGATTGCGATGATTTTTTTTCCTTTTGTGGGGAATTTAGTAACGTTTTATATAATTATGGGTATAACAAAGGGAAAAGGGAATGCGAAATCTCACCTCCTCCTGGCACCTCAAATGAGATAATTTCATACAAAACTTATATATGTACGTCATAAGTAACTGCTTCTTTCTTCAAATTTCCTGAATTTTAATATGATTAAATTAGATTGCCTTTATCGACCGGAATCTTGATGAGTACAGTGGCATTCAACACGTTAAATAAATGAACATGAGGAAGAAATGCACTTGATTTGAAAAAATAAGCACCTATATAGCGAGAATATGAACAATAAAAAATATAGTTTATATCAAAAAGGAGCAATGACAAAACAAGAAAAATATTTAAAATTCATACAATGCTTATTATTCATTCATTATACAGTTCATTAATGGAAATAATTTTTAATCATAGAATAATATAGGATTTGGTAAATTATTAAAATATTAACATAACAAATAAAACAATAAAAGTTCCATCATTTTAATATATTGCTGGAGAATCTATAATTGCATCAGTATACATAACTATTAAATATTTATTGTAAATAACAATTAAAATCTTTGGCTCAATTTACAATATTAAAAAAGCAAAATAAATAAAATCAAAACAAGTACAACCATGATTAATAAAAACATGAGAATGGTCTCAACATTAAATAGAATACAGCAGGGGTCTCCAAACTAGTCTGCACGCCAGATCCAAGCACCTCCAATCCGCTAAAGTTTCTTTGATTACATGTTAACATTTTAAAACTATTAATAAAATACAAAATTTAGCAAATTACTCGGTAGAATACTTCTCACATAAGAGGTTACTACAACATTTATTGCATATGAATATACATATAGAATGCAAATTCATTTATTAAATTATTAAACAAGATTTTTTTTTCATCATATGCCATGGAATCAAGTGGAGGTCTCAATATGGCCTGGGGGCGATAGTTTGGAGACTCCTGGAATGGAGTAACAGATAGATACCGGATCTGGTCATGATATAAAGTTATGCTTTATTTACATAGCAGCCATTGTCAATACAAATATATAAATATTATATATTTTAATTCCTAAAATAAAATCATAGATTAATCAATATTAATCACACTAACCTTATAGTGTACATAACTACAAGTTTTTCTTTATATATCAAAAATTTCATATTTGAGTCAAATCTTTTTTTACAATTGACAATTTTTATAGAGACGCAGGCAATTCAGAAATATTTTAAATGGGTTAAAATAAGAAACAAGACTTTAAGATTTAAACGGCATAGTATATAAACATTTTTTAATATGAGGGTAAGGTGTTTTGTGATAGAATTAAAGTTATGACAAGCGATAGTGGAATGGCACAGAGAATAAGGTACTTATTTAATATCAGATAGCATCAAAACCTCCCTTCTTATCTAATCTCATTTCACATAACCTCCCTTATCTCATCTAACCTAAGTTATTCCTTTGTTTCTTGTGTTAGCTGTGAGTTAGAGTTATTTAATTATGGATGTTGTCACATTGTGGGAATTCCCAGAAGAAGATGCTATAAAATATTTTCAATACACCGGAATATTTGCAAAGGTCATCAAATGAAGTTCGACGGGAAGATTAAATGTGTTTCTTTTATATATACATGTGCTGTTTAAGTGGTTTTTTATTATTTCATCTATTTTTGCCTATTTTTATTATTTAATTTATTTTGATATATATGTTGCAATGTTTTCGTAATGTTTTTTAATCATATATTTATAACGTTTTGGTATATTTTAATATATATGTTGTAAAATAAAAGTATTTTTTATAGATTATTACATTTGTTTTTGTTCACAATTTCAATACAATACAATAAATATGAATACGAAGATATATTAATATGAATATAATACAACAAATATGAATACAAAGAGCTTATCAGTGTTAAGGTAATAAACATTGGCAGATAGCAGTCAGACGCTACCCGCTATTAAATAAGTACCAAAAATAAATATTATTCTAGCTGCCAATGATGTATTTTCAATTTCATAAGATGTTTCTCATTAAAATACAATTCATGCATTGTCACCATTACATATGAATAAAGAAGATAAAAAATTGAATTTCTGAAATTAATTACTTAAGTAGCAATTATTGCAAAATAAAATGTTATGAAAGAAAATCTATGTAATTAAAGGAAGTTTTTTTTAAATTTTCTTTCTTGAAAAGAAACTATTTCCGTATTCATTACTTTAATGTGGAAGCAACAATAAGATGAAGTATAGTTTTAAAAAAATAAATTTTAAAATATTCCTAAGTCATTCATTTCTCACTGGAGATTACGACCCCATATTAATTAGTTAAATTCTATATTATCAGATATGAGAGGAATTTACTTTCAAAATGGCTATCACAAAAGTTTAGGATAAGTGGTTTTCTAAAATATTTGCCGTAATATTTAACAGGAGATCATAAATTTGATATAATTTTTAAAAGTGCACACAATAAGGGAATAATCACACAGCTAAGATAGTGATAGTCTCAATTACTTTTAGTTACGTTTTTTTTTTTCGTCCCAAAGTCTAATGGGTTTAAAATAATACTTTAAAAAGAAATTCTAAGCATATCACAAATGGTAATTGTTTCACTATATTAAATCTAAAAAATAAATAAATAACAATCTGGCCTCTTTCAAAATAAATATTAAATAAGGACTAGCTCAGTTATAACTTAATGCGACGCACTCGGTTGTGCTATTTCAAAATATAACATTTTTGAAAGAGAAGTGTTATGAGTGTTGATCGGCTAGTGAGCGGGCGGCGGCGATGCATCACGGCATATCCTGAGCGTCATCTCTTTCAGCGGTTCCAGTTCCTTAGGGCTCACCAGGTCGAACTCCCTCACGAAGTAGTAAAAGTGTTTATAGCAGGTGTTCACATGTGGTTCCTTTAAATAAAATGAATCAATTAAAATATATTATGTAATGAAAATAATTGTATTATTACGGGACTAGTGAACCTTTAGAACAAAATATAAATTAACATTCTCGTGTGTATGTAAAATACAATTATATATTTACAGGATGATATATAATAAAATAAAAGTACAGATAATGAAAATGATAAGCTGACGGTTATCAGTATTATCTTAGAAATAATAATCTTGACATGGGAGAAAAAAAATCATATATTGTAATAAAAACAATTTAATATCCATAATGAGTCTTTATTAGACAAATTAAACTTGCAGTTTAATAATAAATATGATGAAAATTAAAAAAATAGTAACAATTCAATGAAAAAATATATATACAAAAAAAAAAATTGGTTGATTTCGGGTTAATGAAAATAGTTTTATAATTTTTACAGATGATAAATCAGAAATATTGACAGTACAAGCAAATATTATTATTTAAAAAATAAATTGTTTATTTTCTATAATTGTTAAAAGTTCCACACTACACTGTATTGATATTTTTTATTTTGATGTAGCCTTTCTTTGAGGAAACATGGACACTATGAGATAAAATGAGAATAATTTTAGCATTATCATAATTTAATCATTATCACCCGTTGGGTAAAAATTTCCTGCTCATGAAAAATTACAAAAGGAGGAAAAACTTCATTTGTTTATAACTGATATAAACAACTTATTTATTATATAATATTGACTATATTTATTTATTATAAATAAAAAATGTATTTATATATTAACTGACATGGTATTCATTATTTATATATAATAAATAAAAATAATAAAAATAACACAAGTTTTTATTTTTTTATAATACTTGAATATTTTTAGATCAGAGATATAAATCATCTTTAAAAAAACATGGTCTTTAGATATAAATGCTTAGGCTAGTATGAGCAAAAATTATTATAGATAGAGCGATAGCAAAAGAGAGCGAATTAGTGTCAAATGACCCCATAAATCTAATTTAGTCAAAAAAGGAAAATCTACAGAGTACTGATGATAATGGGAATGAATTTCTCCAAATTCAGAAATCATCAGTTGAAAGAAACTGACTTAATTAAATTTTAATTAAGTTGTTTTCTATTGGACATTAATTTTAGAAGAATTAATTTTTAGTAACCATATTTTACTTGAAATAAAATCAGATTTTTAAGAATTATTAAAAAAACAATAGACAATAAAAATAAAATAAAATACGGATAAATTTCGTTGATTGAGTTTTAAAGCATTGGATTTAATGTTTAGAATACTAAAACCAGACTTTTGCCACTGAATTACACTTTTATGGAACCACATTTATATTTTGAACCTTTGTGAGTGAGACCTGTGATATATTTTATATCTTGATAATGTGATATTTAATATTAATAACTTACAGCTCCAATGGCCACGATTCTGTCGAAATGGTGTATGTAGACATGCACAAATACTCTGAACAGTCTTGCAAGGATTTTTCGGCACAATGGTAAAAACGTTTTCGGGAATGGTATATCTGTAATCAAAATTATATATACTTAAAAAATTTGTAAAAATCTTTTTTCTCATAAAGACAAAAATGTATATATATAAAATAATCAATAAAACAGTAGTTGGTAAATGTATAGGCAGACATATAGGATGGTCAGTTGAATTTTGTTTTTATTATTGTATATTGAAAAATATGAAATAGCAACAAAAACATTTTCCATTTTCTCATATCAATTAACTTTTTAGCATTTTTCCATATCATCTGTATAATTATGTGGGTACAATAAGTGAATTTTAGCTTACCAGTCGAAACTGGGAATAGAGCTTCATTATTGATTTGGTTCTCAACCCAGTCGATAAGATTGGCTATGTATTGCGGTGCAGTAAGCTGAGTAGGTTTCTTGTACTTAACCCCATCAGCCCACAGGTACTCGAACCTCGGCCCACCAGACATCGTCGGACAGGAAATATTGGTGCAGTAGTCACTCACCGTTCCATAAATAAGGTTTATACGGTTGAAGAAGTCAACAACTGCAAAAAAATGATAAACTTGAAAACTTTATATCATGGATATAAACATATCCTACATAATACATATACATCAAAACTAACAACTGCTTCTACTAAAAATACCCTTCATTTTATTGTGATACAGCAAACATGAGATTTTTTATTCACGTTGATAAGTAAGACATTAAAAAATATTTCAAAGATAGATTAATTGATTCGCATACAAAATTTGTTGGTTGCTGATACAAATAAGTTTAAGTTGACATAATATTTTCAGGTCCAATAGAAATGTTTTTATTCACTATTAATAGTAAAAAATATATTTACTGAGTATATATAGTCAAGCATCAAATTACATCATTCAGATTGTAATTTTTTTGGAATAACATTAATAAAACAAAGATGTAACATAATTTTATTAATTATTCAAAACATACTAAATTTATATTGAATTCTAATAATGTGCAGGCTTGCTACTATATTCGATTTATTATTAACTAATTTTACAAGATTTTTTCTTCATTATACTTACTCGCCCATTATCATTACTACCACTAAATGCAATTTATAGCATTTATAGCACTAAAGCAATTTATAAGTTCATGGGACCATTTTAGGACTACATTCATCAGTATTAATGAACAAATCATTCAAACAATTTCTATCTACCTCTCCTCCAGTTCAAATTCTTAAAGATGTAACTAAATGCTAAATGTAAAATAATTTATTTAGTAGTAAGTGGAAATCATGATTTATAATGTGGAATGCAATGATTTTATCTCCTCTTTAATCTATAATAACCACAACATTAAAACAATAAATGAGAATATTTTATAAGTTTATTTATAAATAACAAATGTGCCAACCATGTACAGCAATCCAGTCATTGTTTTCTTCACCCTCTGGAAGCTGAACGACTGACCGCAAGTTAATTCCTGAATTAAGCGATGCTTGGGCCTGCTTGTGGAGGGAGTACCTGAGAGTTCCAGGGTTGAACTTCTTGTTCGGCCGGAATGTCTGAAATACATATTAAATTAATTAAATAACATTAAAATAAATATTATAAACATTTTCTACAACTATTAACTTAATTTCTATAAACATTTTATTACAACTTAAAAAAAATATATATATATATATATATTCTTATTATAAAAACTAAATATGAATGATGTATGCCCTTTGAACAATACTTACATAACAAACAACTTAGCATAAATATCTGCTATGTAATATTCGGCTAACATTAATACTCTAAAATAACTAACCTTGAATAATCACGAAACAAGGAACCTATAAATAAAAAACTATTATACAGAGATTTTCCTTATTCTGAAGGTGGAAAAGTAGATTTTAAAGTATTTTAGAAGTAAAACTTTATTTCCTGTTTTTTTTTTTTTTTTTTTATTACAAATGCAATTACATACTTAATTTTGAAACAGAGGCATCTTGCTTTATTAAGAATATAGAAACATTCATTCAATGCACAGAAAATGTTAAAATTTATAAGTTGGAAAAAATATATATATATAGACAAGGATTATTAATAACAAAGTTTATACAATACAATAGCTATTTCATAAAATCTACAAATATACCAAATATATATACATATATGTGGCAAATAATCAATATTTTAACTTTAACAACCAAAATTAACTAAATTTTTATTTAATCGTCAATTTTTCAACTAAATGACAAAGAGCCTCTCTTGAACAATTTTTTTTTTTTCATACTGACCCTAAGCATTATATATTACTATGTTAATAACTTGTGAAAACAATAAATATGAAAGGTATTGATTGTGTAAGATTTTTATCAAATGATTTATTTGAATAAAAAAAAAATGAAAAAAAATGGGGATGTCGAAATTGTCCATGGACCACATTTTATTTATCTATGCAGTAAAGTATACAATCAATATAGAATAATATCCTAACTAAAACATATGGATTAAGTAGCCAAAAAAAATATTCCATTAATTTTCATAAAAAATAAATGATAAGTAATCTAAAAACAAGTTGAAATGGACATCTACTTAATGTGTGTTTAATCAACGCGTGCAACTGCAGTTTACCAATTAAATATTTAATATATTTTATTAAAAATCTAATTGATTTTCATATATAATTAATTCATTTTATTTCGAAGGAAAGGAAATTTCTTTTAACATGAACAAGTGTTTAAGAGCAGAAGCAGTATTTAAAGAATTTTGTCATTGCAGTATTTCCAATTTGTTAAACATTTATAATTTTTTTTTTCTGAAGAAACACTTTGGAGAATTCTGTATACTTTAACAATTCATTTTATAAGTGGTTATTTAAAAAAATCCTTATAACCTATCAAATATTTTAAAGTAATGATTCTTAAATGGATAATTCAAAGTTAAAAAGTATTTGATTTTTCCTTTTCAAATTCCAACATCAAATCTTTACATAGAGATAGGCTGGCACTGATTCACCTCTAGAAGAGGTAGGATATTACAAATCAATTGACAGTCATATTTCAAACATACACATTATGATGTTAATGTTATGAATTTTCTGGCAGGTAAAATTGAGTTAAATTTACATTACATTATAAAATCAAACGATTTTAAAATTCGGAATTTTTTTTCTAAAAAAGCCGAAAAATTAAAGTAAATAAGGTGCATGTAACTAATAACCGGTACTCAGATGTAAAAACAATAAAAAATACAATTGCGATGCCTTTCTACTATATGTTAAGACAAAGACTTAACCTCTAAAACTTTTAAAACCTTATTCAGGTGATGCAAAAGAGGAGAATAATATCAAACCAAAGTCAACATACCTTTCCTTTTTGAAAAAATTCCATGAAGCCGCTAAGCGCCATACCACTTTTAACAAAAATTGTGAATCACAGGTTTGCACCTACGAGTAATAGTATTTACGAATCACAAGACGAATCCATGTCGTAAAATCATATTAAATTCCTTTAACAACCCATTGCAAACAAGTCTGTAAACTGTTTCAACAAATACCTATTATTATCAAAGCTTATAAATCAACCGTTATCATACAATGCCACCAACCTTTAAATGATGCCGGTTTTTATAATTTTAGTCATCAGATCTTTTATCATGCCCATATTATTATCTACAATATAGAAACAATTAAGACAAAAATTGATATTACATTAAAATAAAAATATTATCGATTACACCACAAATGAAGTACAGGACTGAGAAAGTTACTCAGCTCCCCCCCCCGTCAGCTTACAAGTTCATTACAACTTTTTAACATAAGCTTCTATAAAATTTAATTGAAATTGTAATTGAGATATAAATTGTAGAATAATGTAAAGAAAGGACTTTATAAATAAATAATTTATTTTATCAAATAAGATTAATCTTATATTTTAAGTGACCATTTCAAGAAATAATTTCATGATTTTTCATGTAATAAAAATAATTACTATTTCATAGCAACTAAATATTTTCCCAGAAAAAAAGGAATTGAAATTTACTCCCATTTACCTCCAGGAGTGTAAAAGTCCTAATTTTATTTTCATATTTAAAATAAAAGCCAATGATGAGTTTATCAATTGGACTATAGATATAAATGTTTTTTGGGATAACTTAGTAATTGAGTTCCATTATTAGGTTTTAGATGGTCTTTTATATGATATTACATTAATTTTTTTAAGATAGTGTGCTTAAGTAAAGATTTATCTTAACTTTTAGGGATAATCTCAACATAGAAGTCTATTATTAGATTATCTAAGGAACTTTTTTATGAAAATACTATGGTTTTTAAAATAGCGCACTCAGATTTTCCTATTTTTCTTAAGGTGACCAGATTTTAACATTGGTAATTGGAGCACCAAATATTTTGTAAAAATTTGGTTCATTAAGTCTAAAGAATATTTCACATCTGTTGTTACAATAATTAATTTTACAAAATGATAATATTGGACGGGGTGGCCTAGAGGACTGTATGCATAACAATCTTGCCCGCCAACCATATGATTGATAAACAAAAATTTACAAGATATAAAATAATTACAAGTTAGTGTCCCGGTTCTGGGGAGGAGGGAGGTCTTTTAACTGTCGTATATTAATCACTCACCCTCTCCTCTGGCTCGGGATGGAAAAAAAATAATAATCTAAATACCCCAATTATGAGTACCCACTTTATAGAAGCTGTGTGTGTATTCTGGTCCCAGGATCGATCCATGGCTGATGAAAAATTACTAGTTATCAGCAGGATTCGAACCTGAAATCTTGAGCTCAGAAAGTTGATGCTTACCCTCTGAACTACCCCACTCCATGAGAATTTAGTCCTAATGGAGTATTTTGGAGAGCAAATAATTTGATGATGTATTAAACTTCTAATTTATGACTTCAATAATAACACAGTTTTTAAGACTTATGTATTTTATGTCAGCAGTTTGTATATTAGACAGCTTTTTTTTTTCAAAATGCTATGAGACTTATTAAAGGTGACACAATTTTGGTAATCAATGTAGCAAACGAAGTTAACTTGCTGATGCTCAAGATTTAAACTTCCCTTATTAATATATTTTTTATTCATGATACTTCATTAAGAATACCATTATAAAGAATGGTCACTTTAATCTATGTTTGTGTAGCTGTAATAAGTCTTTGAATCGCTTCATATTTTTTATTGGTTCTTCATGTTTCGAGATTCAAATTCCATCTGCAGAACTTTTTATTCCAGACCTGTCTTATTATTTTTTTGTTAATAAATACCACAGTGTTCCCAAAATTAAATCCTGGATCCGTTAGTGATTAAAATAATTACTTTGTAAGGAAAGAAAAGAAACTAACTACCTATATCATAGGAGTTTAATTGATTCTTGAGGTCCAATTAAATATAATCAGACGAAATATAATACTTTTTTTCATAAAACTTGGTTATATTTTATCATTTTGGGGGGAGAAGACTTCAGCCCGAAATCCTCTCACCATAGATCTGCCTGTGCATGGTTGTGTATAAAAATGTGTATGTAGTGATATACAAATGACTATATCCTTTGCCAACAATGATTTCAGAAAAAAGTTATTTTTCAAAAATATCTAATAAGCAGACTAGATGCATGGTTAGAGAAGTTGAATAGAGGGACTACCATGCCTACGGCTTATCAGGGGTGTCCAAAAGGAGGTTGTATCTCACCAAATATTTTTGAAGGGAGCACATTTTTATGCAGTTTTAATTAAAGAGAACTTTCAAACCAAAGTACTAGAGAGAAAATAATAACTGTCAGATCTATATTTTTCTCAGTCTTCTTTTGTTGCATAGTATTTAAGGATGAGGAGAGCATTAAAATTTCTTGAAGGAGGAAGGGGGCACACACCATTGACCTTGAGGAGGATGGGCACCCCTGCTGGAATAGCCTAGTGCCAAAGGATATATATAAATTTTAAACAAAACTTTAAAGGATGTTATACGTGCTTATGAATTGCGAAATGAGGGTTGGTTGTGGTGGATGAGGGAAGGAACAACAGTCTTAAAATTTGGTTATGTGTTCCAGTAGTCTGTAAATAAATGTGCTGCTATTGTTTTACAATTTTTATTTGTTTACGATTTATTAAAAGCATAGTTTCCAATGTAGTTAATAATTATTTTAAAGATTGCTTCATTGTCTTGATTATTAATTATATGTATTTTTACACAACTTTTCTTTTACAGAACATTCCGAATTATAAAATAAAACTACTTTTCGTTTAAAAGAAACAAACTTAAAACAGAAATCTTCACCTTTGTGAATACTTATAATATGATGGTACTATCTGGAAACAAATACAACTTGTTTTGAACATTTTTAAACTGTTACTGGAATCAAGAATCTTTTTTTTCTCTATCTTTAAGGACTATCTCTGAAAAAAAAAATGTTTTTTCTTATTAAATTAAATCTAAAATGGAATTATCTCACAATTTAGACATTATATAAAAATGTTCATTCCTTTTACATTAATCTAAAAACATTGTAATAAACATGACAACTAGTTTTTGCCTGTCCACTGCATAGGTTTTATATCCTTCTTAGAAAAATTAGTGAAATTCCTATAGAGAAAAAAATATTATATGATGATTAATATTTTGAGGAGTCAACCCTATGGAATTTATTTAAATCCTAGTTGTATATTTATAACTTATTATAAAACATTATATTTAAATTATTTAAGTGATTGCTATTTTAGTTATACACTAATAATGTATATGCACAGTAAGAGCCTCCTTTTTTTTCTGAGCTTTTGGGACTAGAACTATTTTCCATGAAACTTTTCAATCGATTTTTATTTTAAAATTCTGTTAAAGTAATCATTTCACCAAAAAGGAAATCTAAAAAAAAAAGTAATTGTACAGCCACTTAAACCAAAAGCCAGAAAATCCATTAAAGATAAATTATAACTACAATCAGAGCTGACTTACGGTTTATTTCTCATCAAACATAATTTTTTTTTAAGAACATAAATGCTTTCAGAACTTGTCCAGCCAAGAAATAGACTATTAAGTTACTACAGACAAAATGTGAAATGTCCCAGCGATACTATACCCTTTGTTGATATCACTGCAGATTATCGTGCTCTGTCATAGTAATATAATCATATTGCCACCGACAAGAATGTCTAATCGCCAAGACATATCACACTCTGTGTGTAGGAGCCCTAAGTCTATAGCCCAAAATTAATCTTGGGTTAATAATATAGTGGAACAAAAAATACTATTAGAACAGATAAGTCAAAAATGAACCCCTGACCTAGCAGATACGTCTCTAGAACATTAATTTCCTCCATAAGGAAATTTTAGAGGCATATCTGTAATTTCATCAGATTAACAAAATCTGATTGATTTCTTCAATTGGATATATTTAATCTACATTAGTTTTAAAATGAGACACCATTTTAATAATTACTCATTTTTTTAATTTCTATTCCAATACTCCTTGCATTTGATGCCACGTGATTCGGGAGCAGCTCTTAGTATTTCAATCAGTTCTATACTAAGCTTCTTTATTCATATCATATTTACTACAAAATATAATAAATCACGAAATATATCATAAAAATAAGGCAATATGTACAAGCAATAAAATATAATATTAACCTACCTGATTACAAATTCTATTAGTTTTTCATCCATTTGTTGGCACTAGGCTATGTTTTACGTTTGAAATGGGAAACAGGGATAACAACAAAGTTCTGTTTGTTGTGTACAATGTTGGAAATAAGCAACGTTGTTGCTTCTTGACGGGATACATGCCAGCAACACAATATCCATGTTGTCCAACATTGTGTATCATACCTTTGCAGTAAATAGTTCGTAATAAATGTGTTCCAGTTGCCCAAGTAATTAAAAACATAATAAGGATAATAAATGATGGTCTTTATTAGACTAGACTATGTTTCAAGCTAAGCGAGTGGGTTATCATTAGGGTTAAAAATTAATAGAAAAAATTAGACCAGAGTGAGATATAGCCAGAAGTATGTAAATAAAACAAGATAAAATGTACACATGAGTATGTTCATATTATGTACACTATCATAGGAAGGTCACACATATTACCATTTTCTCATGTGAACTTTCCATCTTTTTTTTTTATCTTCTCTCATTACGTACTTAAATAACTCATTTTTCTGATGATTTTTTTTTTTTTTAATTTTTAGCCATGGTTATGACCCATATGCTTGATCAAAATATAGGAAACACTAATATTTTTTTTTCACTTTCATTTATTTATCCGCTCATATCAATTACAACTATCGACAATCAGCAGATGTATTGGCATAGTCATGAGAAAAAAATTAAATAAAAATAATAATAACAATAAAATATAAAAAGAGTTGATAGGAATGAGGAAAAGCGATACCCAGCGGTATCCTCTCCATGGCTTTTATTTACTAAAACATTATTTAAGTAGATTCCTCATCCAGACCCTTTTCAATCGTCTTCTGGAGTTCTCTGGCATACTAGTTGTGGCCATTTTTTTATTAGCTGGTTGGAGTGTCCATTTAACATATTATGAAATCTTTTGTAAGTTCATATGTGATTTCACATGGTATAAGTTCATATGTGTTCATTGACTGTCGGAACATATAAGTCGGTGTGTAAAGTGTGGTTGTTCACGTACCATGGTGCTTGAGTGATTAGTTGTAGTCTTATCTTAGACTGAAAAGTTTGAGTCTTTTTATGTGTGTTGGTTTTGCGATTCTGTATATTTGTAGTTGTAAGTCCAAAGAGGTTTTAATAGATATGTGCAAATACTTAGTTTCTGTCTTGCTTTTAATTTGGAATGTCGTCTTAACAGAGTAACAATTTTAGTCTTCGATTTAATGTGACTTGTTTTTTCTTAACCTGTGGACCCCATGTCATTCTCTTATCGAACGTAAGACCTAAGTATTGTACTGTACTCTGTCTGTTTGTGGAGGGCAGGCATGTTTCTAGTCTTAGCGTAAGTGAAATATGTTGAGATTTTTGATAATTTATTTCAGTCTTCTAAAGTTTACACCAATCAAGTATTATCTGTGACTGATGTAGGTGAAGTGATGCTGTAAAGGCCAAGAAACCATATAATTACTGCATATCCTACTTTTTTGTCATCCTCATAATTTGAACTGGTCTTTTGCAGATTAGCCCCACCAGTTATTTTTTAATAGTAACCTGTTATTTTAAGTGATTAAATAAAGATAAATGATATTGAAAACTTTAATTATAATTAATCTAATTTGCATTTTTGTTTTTTAATGTTATTCACATATCCAAAACTCTTCCATATTAAGTAATATTGTCTTAAACAAATCTTTTCTAAGGTGTCTTCTCTGCCATACAAAACTGATAAAACTTAAAGGCGTTCATTTTGCTAACTAAATGAATTTGTTAACAGATGTTTATATAACGGAAGAATAACAAAATTGAATCAAATGTAACTGATACGTTTCTATAGCAGATACTTTTCTTGTTAAAAATAACTGATGGGGCTATCTGTAAAAGAACCATTTTAACAGTTGACGATATTTCCATCTCTAAAAATGTAATTCAGTTCGCTAGTATTAGATGAAAAGTTAAATGCTGCACTGCTAACTTGTTCTTTTTAAATGTAGAAATAATGGGAAAAGGGGAAAAAAAAGAGAAAAAAATAAGAATTGCAATTTGAAATAAAAATGAAAACAATAATTGAATCTTTTATTAATAACATCAACAAGAAGATACAATTGTATTAATAAATTGTATTAGCTACAACATTATGGTTCTGTAGTAAAAGTTTAAAATGAGATGACTTCAATAGTCATTGGGCTTATCATCGAATACAAAACTAAACACATCGATAACAATTTTCAACAACAATGATATCAAATTATATAATTAATAAATTTGAACAGATAGTATAATTGGTTGTTCAAATCGAAACAAACAAACAAACAAACAAAATATTAATAAACCTTACATTTTATTAAAAACAAAATAAATAAATAAATACTGTATTTTCATCTTGATAAGCTACAACACTATTCGCATAAAAGTTTTTATCAAAATAAATAGAAGAGTACTCATAAAATAGTGGAAGAAAAAGGCCAACCGACAGCACCACAAGTTTTATAAATATAGATATATATATATTAACCACTAACTCATCGCATTAGTGTTAATAATACAACACAGCTCTAAACTGTCATGCAAGGTCTCATATCGCTCGATATCAAATAGAAACAACATACCCTTATACAAGAGACTAGACAAAATTAGCTAATTTTGAATATTATAACTCTTTTTTTTTTAACAACATACTTCTTAATAAAACAGCTGTTCTAGCTGTTACTATATATATTTTTTTCTTATCACAATTTTCAATTTTTATAATTCCATAATCAACTAACCTGTCATTATCGTACTAAGGTAAGAAGTCTTTTATCGAAAACAAAAATGTTATAATGAAAAATCTTTCAGATATGTTACTGCTAATAAAGATAACATGTAAATGTACATTAATTGCTTATTAGACAGATAAGCAATTTGATAACTTCAATTTTCATATATTTTGCTATCTTTTCCATTTATTAAATTTATATGTATACATATATATGATCTGAAAAAGCTAAAAATGGTTACATATATCAAGTTTATAAATCAAAGTTTAGAAATGATACATTTGATAAAGATAGTTAGCATGTGCGAACAAAATTTTTTTTTTCTTTTTCTGATTTTTAATGTTTTTTTTTTAATATAATTTTTATTTTATTTTCTTTAATACCTTTAGGAACAGCAAAGGAATGAATGCAGTTCATCGTTAGAAAAAGGTTCACAGAAATTAAAAGAAAAAAAATAGAGTTAAAACTTTTTTTAGAATAATATAAAAAAGAGAAACTACCAACAATAAAAAATACAAAAATTGTTTAATAAAACAACTGACAACAGACTAAAAATACTACTATCAAAGCCTACTTCGAAAGGCTGGTACGGAATCAGAATGCTAGTCCCAAATGAAGGGATTATTAGTCATATGCACGAAAATAAAGTAAAAATTTTAACGATATTGAAAAGATGCAAGTATATAAGTTAAAATTAGAAAAAAATAATAAAATAAAATAAAAAATAATAAGGAATAAAATGTGAACTGATAAACCTCAGATTTAGAATATGGTTTATTATTATTAGTAAAGATAATGCCAAAAGTAGTGAACATGGAAGGAGATATATCAAGCATAACAAAGCACTTGAGTACATTAAAATAAACATCAATAAATAAAATGCGATAAGGGCCTCAGGCGAAGGAAGAATGTTACGCGGTCCCGCCGACTCGTTGCCGTGGCTGCTGCCTCTTTCCTTGCAAACCACTTCGTCTATATAATACACTTATACCTTAACACACTACTCCGTTGCCCGCTCTCCGACATGAAATTTCTTTAATCTCACATTAAGTATCTCTTTCTATAAAAGGTAAGTTCTAATCCTAAATAAGAGCGACTAATAGAGACATTTAAAGCCTCGAGTCCTGTATAGATGCGAACAGCCGCCCTCTATTAAACCTAGTGTTGTATTCCATAACTCCCGAAACAAACTAAAATAAATAAGTTATATTACATTACAAAGTACGAAACAGACACGAGACGAGAAACTTAAATCAAGGCCGAAATTATTTGATTCATACTTCGGCGAATTTAAAATTAAATGTTACATATATCCGTTTGATTCAATTGTAATTATGTAATAATATATTCATAATTAACATAACGCTAACTTACAAAGACTTCAATTTACAAATTAACGTGTTTTTAAATTATTTATATAATTACGTTAAATGCAGTTAATAAAGTATATAGACGAGAATGTTGACAATAACAGTACTGCTTGGATATATTATGAAAATTCAGATATTTATCTTTCGCAATAGACTAGACTAAAAATTTAATCCTCAATCTAACAAAGCGAAATTCGTTATCAGATGCAACTTATTAATAAGAAATAATTTTAATTGATTGTGTCAACTGTTAAATAACACCTTCATTATCAAGAAGAACCATACAATTGCTCAGATAGATCCAAACAGCACATAAACCTAATAGCTATCAGTAAATAAATAAAGACGCCTAATTACAATTACGGCATAGACATTTCTCTTACGGTAATATAAATGCCACAAACCACGACGCTATACATCAAAATGACGGGGTCAATAAAAAAAAAAAACGAAAAAAAATTTCTAGAGAGAATATATAATAAATGAGAAGAAATGAGGAAGGAGCCACTAGAGCTAGACATATTTACATATATACCTCTCGCTCACTCTATATATAGATATATATAAAAACCAGATATATCACAGATGTTTGCCGAGGCGGGACCGCTATCATCACAGACAACACAAGCTTTATATTTAACGATCTGCTATAGCGAGGCAACGGAAGGCGCGTTATGTCATGTTAACACCAAGAGCTTGCCTGCACCGCTCATAGACGACATAACTAATAGAAACTGCGGGAGCCACCTGTAACATTAAACCATTCATAAACAATTCAGTATGTATTTTATAAATACTAATAAAAAAAAATATATGAAGTCTTGATAATGATAGTGGAAAACAAAATTAACATGATAATACCTTCATAAAATTTGGTGTTATTCCTCTGTAGAGCCCGGCCCAACCTTCTTCCCTGATGATGTCTCGCATCAGAGATGTCATGGTATAATGAGTGTTTATTTTTGAACCAACATTAGTGATCACTGTAACAAGGGTTATAAATTATTATTATCCAAGATATTTAGTCTAAATACAAAAATTTTGAATTTAAATTTGAATTCAAGAACAAAAATCAACATAAAGTCATGTCAAAACTAGTTCGTTATAAAAGTTTTGGTGCATTGCTGACATTCAAGTCTTCATTTTGATTCTTAGACTCTTATGTGAACAATGAATATATTGTTATTGAAGAGGAATTGGGGTGTTCAGTCAAATTGAAATGGTAAAAACTAAATAATTTTATTTATTTTTATTCATAAATAAAATTATTTAGTTTTTACCATATCAATTTGACTGAACACCCCAACCATCCTTCTCTTCAATTAGTCACTACAGTCAATCATAATTGTTATGATTGAACAACCACAAATTGTTACTAACTTTGATTAATCCTTTATTTAATTACGTATAACAACTGTCTGTGATTTCCATTCCTTAATGAAATAATAAATTTCAACAAAATGTCAGAGGAGAAAAGATTTAGAGTCTTTTATGGTACTGCCGATAAAAAGGACTAAGAATAAACATAGGTCAGTAGCCCATGAAATTCTTTTAATGGAACGTAGGAATATGGTGAATCATGGCATGGCTGGATTTTAGTTCAGATGGTTCAATTTTGGGAACAACAGCCTTAAAGATGAGCCTCGATGAGGTCAAAAAAACAAAATATATATGGTATGTGCTTTAAACCACAAGGTAGAAGTGAAACCATTAACAAAGCGAGATTAATAAAATTTACAATATATATAATTACAATTGTGAATAAATTACTTTAGTAAACTTTGCTTTGACTGATCGTCATTTGTATCATACTCTAAAAATGATGCAGAAGGTTTATAACTAAAATATGTGATGAATATTTTTGATTGAAAAGTATTGCTAAATATCTACCAAAAATACTGGCATTTTTTTAAATATAACTTCTATAACGGGGATCAGTAATTTGTCAAAACTCTATTGAGTGCAACAGAAAATTGAATATTAACACATAAGCTCTTATTTTATGTCTAATTAAAAAAATATCTATATATCTATATTACTTCCCCAAATCAGTTTCTGAATATCCCATGATATTAAAAGTTAGATATTATATAATAAAGCTGTGTTTTTTCCTTCACTATATTTAAAGCCGCGGTAAAAAATTATTATCACAATATGGACATTTTGGCAAAGCTTTCTTAATGATGAGGTAGAAATAAGTAGTATTGTGTGTCCTACTTCAAGTCAAAGTTGATACAACCTCATTTCTACAACATTTAGATTGAGATACTGCAGGCTTTTACATCCATTTGAATAATTTTAAGTATTAGTTCTAAAACTAACAAATTAATTTAGCTCATGGCAGAAAGATGAGTTAAAGTTATTGACAAAAATGATCTATATTTTGAAGAATAAATTTAATGTGTAGATTTTAAACTGAAATTTAAATAAAACTTATTTTAAATACAAAGATTATTCTAAAGATCTAGTCTATTTCATAAATGTACACACCTTGTGCCTGCAGCTTCGTCCTCACCAGAGCCAGCGGATAGCTACAGACTTGTCCACATGTTGAAGATGCTGTTCCGCAGGCTAGCAACAGCATGGCAGAAGGTGCCTCTCCGTCGGAATGTTGCCGGAGGTAATTGTTCTTTAAGGTCTATAAAGAAAGTAAATGTTATTTAATCAAGTAAATAGAGTAGTACATATAGCATTAAATATCAGAGGAACACTTAGAATAATAACTTTGTTAACAAAGAAAAATAATAATAACAAATGAATAAACAATAAAATTAAGACACTCCTTGATAGGTAAAACAACATAGATAGACCCTCACCTCGTAAACTGCAAGATCAATGCCAGCATATGGAATAATTCCTAAGAGGTTAGGTATATAGCCCTTGTAAAATGCCCTCCAGCCTTCTCGTTTATAAATTTTTTTAGCAGCATCCATGATACTACTGAATTCTCCAGTTTTTCTCAGGGCCAGTCTCGTTTTTAGCACCTATTACAAAATTCAAAGTCAATAATAGTAACTTGAACTGCTATAAAATTATTTACTTAAAAAAATAAATGGACTCTGTAAAATTGAGATTTACCCTGAAACTAGAACTATTAGGCGTTCAAATCTAAAGCTAGTTGGGCTAACCTATCTCACCTACCTCCAATGGATAGATGACAGTCTGGCTAAAACCACCGGCTAGAGATCCAGCCACAAACCTCTCATAGATTGTTAAGTCTCTCGCCGTAGACTGCTGACGTATGATCTGTTAAACAAATACAATGTCAAGGTATTGTATTTATAATATTAAATAGAATTATAATATTGTTCAATAATATTTGTAAAAGATTCTGGGCAGTAGCTATAAATGTCTTAACTACCTAAAAATGAGAATTTCCTAGATGAGACAAAGATGGCCAGGCCAATAATAAAGCCATCTTTACTAATAACATTTTTCTAATTTCCAAAATTATCATATAATGTATACTTAGATTTCCTTTTTATTAGTTTGTAATTCAATCATGAATATCTATTTCTGTAATTTTATTTTTAATGTTATATATTAAAGTTTTAGATAATTAATGTTTTGTTTTTTAAATTAATGAACATAAGAAAGTAGGAGTATTCATGCAACTAATGCTAATTATTGTAAATCTCTTTAATGTGTGTTAAATATGGCCGCTAGTAATATCCCCTAGGGTCCTGTAAAGTGTTGCTAACTTCGTAAACGCACGGAGAAAGTTTTGATTTTGTGTTGTAAGATTTTGATGTGTTTGATTCTTTGTTTTTGTACAATATCCACAGAAATGGAATGTAAACAGACAGCATTAAGGATTTAATCAATGTATTCATCAAGTTCTTTGTCTTCTGAATCTTCATTCATGTTTTCTAATAAAGCATTTATAACCAAATAATCCAGCAACTCAGTCTTTCTACTTCGCTTTGGCATTTTAAACATAAAGGCATTTAATAAAAATGTTAGTAGATCAATTAAGAAGTCACAAATGAAGAGAAGAATGGTTGGGGCAATCAGTCAAAATAAAAATGACAAAAATAAATAATAATATTTATTTTAACATTTGCCGACATTTCGACTCGAAATTCAGGTTAAGCGATTGCTTCGATCAGCCCTGATGAAGGCCTGAACTTTGGGTCGAAACCTCAGCAAATTTTAAAATAAATATTATTATTTTTTTTTTTTTTTTTTTTTTGTAGGTATGCCACTTCTTCATTATTTCTTAATCAAATCTTATTATTGAACTACCATTATGAAGATAATGGTAATCTTCTCCTTAAATGCAAAAAATTGACACAGCCTCCAAAAAGGTTACGAAAATAAATTATGAAAAATCTTATTTGTTTATAACTCAAAAAAATATGCAATTTATAATGTGCTTAGTTCTGCCATAAATACTGTTACAAAAGTTGAACTTTGTTTAAATACGTGTGTATTATTTTGATAATCCCTACCTCTATCAGGTTATTTTCTATACAAGCCAGGATAACAATCCCAATTAGTTTTATTTTCCTTTCGCCCAGTTAACATGGAGCGGGGTGATAAAGAAAACCGAATAGCTGTGATCACCTTACATAAAGTTGGGAAATTTTCAACACTTTGAAATCTTTGTTTACTTATCAGTGGCCCTAACAATAAATATGTTGTGACATTCGGCAATACTTTATGTTTACTTTAGATCGATGTTATTTTATACCATAAAAATAACTACAGCAGTGATTTAAATCGTACCATATTATAGAAATAAAAAAATCATACAGACAATACCCGATTTTTAAAAAAAAACCAAATAACACTTTAATAAATGCTAATATTTAGAAACACATACCCTTTTGGCCTGCTCATAAGCCATAAACTTGAGTGCAGATTCGGGGGCAATCTTCAAAACATTAATTCCATTTCCCCTCCAGAGAGACAACCAACCTCCCTCCATCAACATGTGCTTCAGACATTTCTGGATACCGGTCGACTTATTACCATGAACCTAAAACATAAAAATATTTTAATTAAATTTTCTAAAAGAAATAATTAGCATAATAATAACAAACACTTTTAAGAAGAAGTCTTCACTTATAAGATAAACCAATGCCAATTATCATAGATTGGAATATTAGACATGTACATATCCATATTTAGTTTGCCTGAAATTTTTATAATGGGGTCCACATATGCTAAATTTAATAAATATTTTTTTAAATAACCTAATCTTAGCATACAATTTTTTTTTTTTATGTGGTATGGAAAGTCGTGTTGTCGTCACCACACATATTTAATATATAACTAATTGAAAATAATAAACCATTCTAGAGGAAGGAGATGGTCTGGGGTGGCGATCATACATAGATTAAAAATAGTGGCAAAACTATTTTAGTCTATTTATGACCGCCGACCCGGACCATCTCCTTCCCATGAAATGCAACAGTCAACTATTAAGAATTCAATAAACCATTCTGTAATAATTTGCAACACTTTAAAATTTAAATAAATTGTTTCTGTATAGTATCGAAAAAAATCAATGATAGTGGTATTATGGAAATAAAATTATAATAATACTGTATATTATACCTGCAAATAAACCTTGAGCCTATCGAGCGGGGCAGTACATGTTCTAGAGACAGCGCCCGCAACTCCTCCAGCCACCAGATGCCTCCACCACATTCCCGATTGCATTTCACTTTGGGTGAAGTCATCAGGTACATTCATATCCTCCCCGATGTCCAAGTACTGCAAGCAAAAAAAAAAAAAAATTGTTTATCAACTATAAACATAAAATAAATTTTGAGAAATTTTACTTATAATAATCGTTATAAAGTGTTACCAAAATTTATTGGATCAATTAAGGAATGAATGTGCTTCTTGATTCTATATTCAGGGTCATATTAATTATATAATAGTTACTTTCAATATAAGATCCTAGGGAGGAGATATAAGATTGGGTCTGGTGAAGAAGTATAACAGTTTCCTAAGACTATTATTATAGTAAAAACAACCGGAGCAGGCGTTTTGTTTATAAAACTCAATTAAAACATTAGTAACTTTATATGATACTTCTCCAAAACTAACTTTCACAATTGGATACTTTTACATTATTTACACCTACTATTAGTGCAAATTAAAATACCTTTCATAATTAAGTAATGGATGATAAGAAGGTGGAGAGGGATAAACAGGTAAGTAATTTTCTTTTTAAAATTGAGTTATTGATATGAATGAAAAACTGCATTGTTCCAGTGAATTATAAGAGAAAAAAAATTAATTCAATAAACAATATCTAATTGTTATGTTATCGCTTTTACTCAATGAAATAATACGGGTTTTCATTCTGAATCGAATGATACCAATAAATAAAAAAAAAAAAGTAACTTATTAGGCTTTTGTGCCTTACCCTTCAAATACTTGCATTTTTTTATTTCACTTCATATTATAAAGTGGTATATAAATAAACAATTAAGTACTGACAAATAAATCTTACAAATTATTAGTATAGGCCGACTTATTTTACCTTATACCTATAATATCGTTGATTATTGTTAAAACTAATTTTAACTGTTTAAAAAAAATAATAAATTACTGTGATATTCTGAGGCAATATAAAACTAAAACTAACTATGAACCTGATATTAATTAGTAATCTTAGTTTTTCAATTATTAACAAATAATTATTTTTCAATTTTTTTTTCATAGAACATTAATATTTTATAAAAAAAGATTTGTTTACTCCGATTATTTCACAAGTTTTATTTTATTATTATTCTTATTTATTTTGTTACTACATGAAAATACAATGTACGCACTTAAATTGATATAAATTTTTTTTTGGATCCATTAATGGCCTCATAAATTTTTGAGGGATTATTGATAATCAAATGAGCTAAGATATAAATATTTACTTCATGAGATTCACTACTGTATACTTTCGAAATACTGTGATATATATATATATATATCATATCATATTAGAATTCGAGGATAGTTATAAAACTAATCTTGATATTGCAAATATCGCTGATCTGCACGGAAAATTGACTGTTGTTAGACATAAGGTAGAGGACTTAGAAAAACAAAATAACCTAGAAAAATGTCTTCATTCAAGTTTTTCTGTTTACGCAGGACAATGTTCAGGGGATACTCTTACACCCTATCTTAATGATAGTTTTGATATTGCGACTATAGGGTCAAACTTTCGATGTAGGACAGAGTTGCTTGATTTAAGCATAAAACAATGGATGGTGGGGAACAACGATTGCTGTCCGGTATGTAACTCTCAAGAAAAAGAGGATATCATTCACTTTTTGGGGACTTGCCACATGTTCAGTGAGTTAAGAGAGAAATGTTTTGGGCAGCGGACCTGTTCTCCAGTAGAATTATTTGGTTTCTTAAAGGGTTCTAATTGGAAAGTCTTAAGCAATTATGTACAGCAGGCCACATTGCAAAGATCTCAATTAGTCAGATAGTAAACTATTGATACAATATCGTGTTTGTTTATTGTAACGTTTGTTTTATTGTTATATTGTATTTGATGATTATTATTATTGTTGAATTTAAATTTCTTATTTATTAGATTTATGATGTATTAATGTTTGTTTTTTGAAAACTCTATTTAAACAAATGAGACAGTGAAAAAAAAAATTGCTAGAATGGATGTATAAAAACATAATAATACTGTAGATATATCATTGCTCATTTATTTTAGTAATAAATGCGATGAATATTTATTATTAATTACACACAGACCTCGACAGACGGAATTTTCCATTGTCTATGTGTTGTTGCTTGTATATATATTTTTTACTTTGTGTAATTTTTTAAAAAGTTTAATAAACACCTTTTCATTCATTAATATATATATATATATATATATATATATATATATATATATATATATATATATATATATATATATATATATATATACATTCATATATACATATATATATCTTTTTGTATTATTATTTTTCCTTTAAACCTGTATCTGAACTTGATAATAGTGTAACAGTACCTATTGAAAGAACTTTTTAAAATTATATATTACTTAATTAAATTCTATTTTTTATATTGCTTTTATTATATTTTTTAATTTTACCAAGGATAATTTGAGGTAATACGAGTGTATATATTTGATACATTTGTTTGACAAGGTTGTAATTGGTTTAACCTTAATTTTAACATGAACAACTTTAAAAATTTAATTTTTTTTTTATCATAAATAAACTTTTATCATTTTTGTTCTTACTTATTTACACTGATTGTCTCTTATTTTTGCCAACAAATGTTAGTTTGAACTATATTAAACCGCAGTAGCGATTTTTGCAATATTTTTGTTTTAATTAATTTTCTTCCGATGAATGGATGAATAAAATCAATTATAAATTTTCATTATCACTGAACAGCAAGTTAGGAGGTAATATAATTCGTGCAATAAAAGTTTTCATGATTTATGTTTTTTAAAACTCTATACAGTATAATTAATTTTCTTTATGGACATTTATTTAGAAATAATTATAGAGCAACGTTGTTGAATGATTTATGAACAAATTATTTAATAATTAGTTTGGAGGTTTGGCACAGGACATACTAGAGGTCAACAACTATCAATACAACATATCATATCTCTTTTATCAATATAGTTTAGTTCATAATTTTGATAGTAGGCTGATATTAAATAATGTAGATAAAATAACGATGTATTAAAAAAAATTAAAATAAAATCAATAATTTATTTTACAATAATTATATTAGTGCCCTTTATTTTTTTTAAATTTATTTATTTCGAATATCATTAGTGTTCTGAGAAGCTACTATTTCTAAAAAATTTAGACGCTTTAAAAAAAAAAAAATATATTCAAGATAACACAGCAACCAAGGCTAAATAAAAGACAGATATATTGGCACGTTTTTTTTTTCATAATCAAGAAAATTCTTTGTTAGACACTATTTAATACATTCTTAAAAGAAAATAACAATTATATATTAAATTCAACATTCTTTTGAAACGTCATGCTTCTGATTCAAGAAAAAAAAAGAAAAGAGAATACATTCATTGAAAATATTGAAATGCAATAATTAAGCCGATAAAATATAAAAGTGTATCGCCGATATGTTAAAACTAGAATAAAGAAATGCAAAACCGATTATTATCGATATTTCAGAGTGAATCAATCGGAAACATAGTAAGAAGTAACAGTGAGGAATCGATGATTCAGAAATATCAATTACAACATTTCGATACATCGATATCTGAATAATCGAAAGGCTATATAACTTATGTGCAGTGCCTGCATTCACTCGTATGTTCATATTCGATACCAGTTCTAATATCGATATCCTCATTCCGATATCCACATTGGACACACCTACCTCGACATCCTGCTGGCTCAGATCGCTGAGGCAATAGTAGTAAGGGAACGCCATTCCTCGCGGGCACCGACTGAGCCTTATCACAGTCTCCTACTGATAGCGAACACTTACGTCACTGACCTAGCTCCGCAGTCAATGGGCGGTAATTGAGTACGTGTCGTAATATATTTAGTGTCGCGAAAAACTACGCGACAGAGATTCAAAAACATAGGACGAACTCTGTGGGCTATGAACCACAATACATCTTTGGTCTCATAATTATTTCTAATGTTGCATCTAGAAAACCCATAATCTATGAATGGAATACAGTCGGGCATTATGTTACGAACTTGAAGGATCCATCAAAATCAATTAATGATATATTTGAGGATTAATAACAATTAAAAATTTTGTATTAATATGAAATTTACAATTATACAAATTAATATACGTTCAGTAAATGTGATACAAAGAAATATATGACATGATAAGGCTTGCAGAGAATCTACCCATTGGTAGCACTCTAATAAAATATCTAAATTAGGAGATCACGAGGCCATTTTCTTTTCTTACGCCTAGGAGGCTTATCAGCGATCGAGGAGGAATGAAGGTTAGAAACGAGAGGATTAGGATGGTTCTGAAGTTTATTATGGAAGCATAGATATCTGGATTGGGCCAAATCGGAAACATACGGAACATTCAGGTCATTATGGATTATTTTATTTGTTGCAAAGTAAGGAGCATTAAGGATTTTGGATTGTAAAGATTGGATACGAGAGGAATTCGATATTTAGTGGAGCCCCAAAGCTCAACTCTGTAAGTCCAAATAGGTCTTATTATGGTCATGTATAAGAGTCTTTTGTAATTAATTGAAAGGTTAGAGCGTTTGTCTAGTAACTGCTGAAGTAGATTAAAAAAATAAATACAAAATCTGCCAAGTAGGGTCCCATATAGCTTATTTTTCATTTAGGAAAATAACTAACCTATATTTTAAAGTCAATGTACTGATGACAATAAAATCTACGGAACGATCCAGTTTTTTTAAATATAGGATTTATCATAGAGAATACATATGCGCATGCTTAGGTAAAAATATGCTCAGTAGTCAGTGGTACAGATCCCCTTCTTATCAAATTATTAACATCCGGCTGAATCTTTGTAAATAGCTTCATCTCATCGTAACCTACAAATATTTTGTTTACGAAAATTCTCGGTATTGTGGCGTTTTCAATCTGGAGGTAGACAAACTTTGTCTATTTAATTATGCACTAAAAACTCGTAAATAACCATTTGTTTTTCACTTGAACCGTTGATAATTTGAGCACAAAGTCGAGAAAAAGGGTGGCCTTCAAAAATATAGAGCTGTTTGGCGTGACCTAAACCCCCATATTGGCAAAATAACGAGGTTATAAAGGCCAAACGGCCAAATATTTTTATATGCCACTTTTTTTATCGATTTAGTAATCAAATTATCTTACGATTAAATTGGAAAGCAAATGAATATTTAAGAGTTTTTAGAACCTAGTTAAATAGACAAAGTATGCCGACCTATAGATTGAAAACACCCCGATTCCGAGAGTTTTCGTAAATAAAATATTTGTAGGTTACGATGAGATGAAGCTATTTATGAAGTTTCAGACGGATGTTAATAATTTGATAAAAGGGGGTCTGTACCACGGACTATAATTAGTCAATGGAATTTTACAAAGTTGATACAGTGTACAATCTGTAAATTAGTTCACGACTTTTCCCCCAATCGGACGAGGCCTTTTCTAAATGTGCTAAGAACAATACTATATGATAAAATTATCAGGAGTCTATCAAGGTACTCCATGATAATTTCATAAAAGAGAACCGTAGTAATGCCTTTCGGGCTGAAGCCTCCCCCCCCCCTCCAAAATGGTGAAATGTAACCATGTTTTATGGTAAAAAATATTAAAAAATTATGACTTAAAGTATTATTGCTCGTTAAATTAGATCCTATAGGTCTTCAAGAATCACTTAAACACCATTTCATATAGGTAGTTAGTATCTTTCTGTTTTTCTAAAGTAATTATCGTTATATATATATATATATATATATATATATATATATATATATATATATATGAAAAAAAAAAGCTTCCGGGCTGAAGCCCCCCAAAATTAAATCCTGGATCCGCTAGTGCTAGTACTCGATTAGAAATATATACAGAATCAACTTCATGTAAAAGCGCAATGTACTAAAACATAATACGTAAATGTAATCTTTTTGTAATAATGTAGTACTTCAATTTTGGTCACGACTGTATTATTGATCTGCAATCGATTGGCCTAATAATACAAATTCCCAACGACTTATATCTAGTTAATTGTATGTTAATTTGTTTGCAATATCGATATTAGAAAATCAAATAATAGTATAAATTCGAGAAATTAATTCCATAACTGGAGACAAATTATAATTCGTATCTTAGCGGGCATGGCAATTGGCTTCGTGGGGAAAGAGGGGATGGGTGATAACAACTTAGCGCAAATCGTAAAAATACTCCACAAGTTCAGAAATAAAAGACGATAACAGAAAAGAGCACATACCTATCTGCACTGTGAAAAAACCTTTCTTAAACTAAGCTTATTCAAAACTCACAAGATAACGAGTTTAAAATACGATTAGGAGAAAAATGGACATTTTTCACACCGATCACCTTCGACAGTGTGGGTTAGGTAATCAGTCTCAAGGTATAAGCAACAATTGTCGATAGTTTTTCCATATTTTAAACTTATCATAGCCATATTATTAACTTATTTATAAAAATTTATTCTCATATGCATTCCAACATTGGGGAAGACACGTGACCATTGTATTAAGATCTCTTCTAAATTCTAAAATTATTCAATAAAAACTATTGTTGCCGTCAGTTAAGAACAGACAGATTGGTCTTAATTTGAAAATAATTACCCATGATAAAGAAGGCACATTACAAAACATGTCATGTTTCATTCAGAGTTTACAGGATGAAAATAGTTGAAGTAGTAGCTATCATAACTAAAACTATTTTTTTTTTTTTTTTTTGTGTGTGGGGGAGGGACATTTGTTTAAACTGCTCTCTAGTAGACCTTGGGAAATATGGCTGTTCTTTACCTCCGATCTATGGAGGTAAGGGAGCCCAGAAGGGATGGGCGTGACGCAATCCAAGGAATAAGGAATGTACATAACATTCAGATTGCAAATTAAAAAAAATAAAAATTTCAGAATTCAGCTAAAAAATTAAAACAACAGTGCCTCTTGGGGGTCTGGTGGAGATTAGGGGATGTGGTCTAAGTCTAATGCAATGTAAAGTATACGTCACGCCAAACACGGTACTTTGGGAACTTAGGGGAGGGTGGCCGAAGAGGCTAATGCGTGTGTAAAGCACCGTGCGTTGCCCGTCAACCTAATAACCGAAGTTCGCGATAGCAAATAATTACAAATTCAAATAAAGATGCCCAGTGAGACTTTTGTCTCGGCATAATTCCCCCGCCCTCTCCTCCGGCCGGCCGGGGAAAACAGTGTAAAGTCAAAAAGACAAGGAAGGGGAGACAAAAGAAAAACAACAAAACAAGGTTGTTCTAAGGAACTTTTTCAGGTTAATGATAAAAGTTTAAGTGATTTATTTATTCAAGTTCTCAAAAGAAGTTCCATAATTGGACTTAGATAAGAGTTATAATTTGTCTTAAACGAATTGAACATGATTCTAATAAGTCGTTTGTTCGAGTAGCTATGAATAGAATTTCTTATTTCTTAAATCGACTTTTTAATGAAATCGATCAAATTTTTAAATAAATAATTTTAAAAATTAAAATTTCTGTAACAATATAAGAAAAAAAGTTATTTTTCCAATGGAACTGAAAAATTATCGACAGTAGAAATTCCAAGAAAAAAAAAACTTTTTAAAATAAAAGTTTTTTTTTCCGTTTCAAGCCCTAATAAAAACTAATATAAAACATTTTAAATTAAATATTTTTATTCAAGTGGCAGAAATAGGGAAAAAAACGGAAAGATATTTCTTGAGTGGAAGTTTTGAAGTCCCTTTAGAATAACAAAATTTTACAAAAAGAAAAGACTACTTCTCGCCTAAAAATTTGAAACAATAAATAAATAAAAAAAAAAAGTAAAGATATAAAAAAAAAAGTAAAGAAAACCTTAAGTGAACAAGCTATGCACAAAACACTTAAAACTATATATAATGGTAGAACGACGTAGATATACAAATCAAGAAAATAAGAGAGAAAAAAATTATAAAATAAATTAAATTCTTGAAGGAAGTTAGTCGACTGTTCTACATATCATAATATTCAGGACGCAGTATTTAAAAAAAAAATTAAATTTTTTATTTATGCCAACGTTTCAACCCAAAAATGTGGGCCATCTTCAGGGCGTGGTTTGAGCACTGAGGGTGTTCAAGTACTCATACTCATACTGAGTACTTGAACACCCTCAGTACTCATACTCATATTGAGTACTTGAACACCCTCATTACTCATACTCATACTGAGTATTTGAACATCCTCAGCGCTCAAACCACGCCCTGAAGATGACCCAGATGTTTGGGTTGAAACGTTGGCATAAATAAAAAATTAAAAAAAAAAAAAGACTGATTTTTTTTCATCCATAAATTAAATTCTTCTCACAAAGAGATTTAAAGTTTCTACTATGAAAAATCAGTCAATATAAACGAGTAATGTTGGAAGTAGAAAATTCATTTAATATCCCTAAAAAAGAACATTTTTTAAACTAACAAGTTATCCAATACTACTAGAATTCAAGTGATAAAAAAACTAGTAAAAGATTAAATGATAAAAGAGGTCCATATTTAGACAAAAACTTTAAATAAAAGTGCACTCGAAGGTATGAGGATGTGATGGTGGGGACTGGGGGTGTGGTGTATGCCCACCCTAATGAGAACTCTGCCCTCGCCAAACACTTAAATCTCTCTCTGTTATCAACTTATTCGCGTTTATAAAAGTCAATAAAACAAATTATTTAAAATAAATATAATAATTCAGGAATGACGTGGGGAGAAAAAAAAAAACATGTCTTCGGTGGAAGTTTTGAGGTTTCAACCACAATTCTAAGAGTATAAGATAACCGACCAATTAGGCGCTGCCACGTAGATTCTATTCGTTCATAACACGTCGCTTCACTAGCGGATCCCGGATTTAATTCTTTGGGGGGGGGGGGAGGCTTCAGCCCGGAAGCTTTTTTTTTCATATAAATAACGATAATTACTTTGGAAAAACAGAAAGATACTAACTACCTATATGAAATGGTGTTTCAAGTGATTCTTGAAGTCCTATTAAATGTAATTAAACGAACAGTAATACTTTAACACATATTTTTTTAGTATTTTTTTTACCATAAAACCTGGTTACATTTTACCATTTTGGGGGGGCTTCAGCCCGAAAGCTCCCCCGTAAATCCGCCTGTGCGTCGCTTTAACACTGTCTTAGCAAATATTTATCTGACAAAAATCGGGATTTTTATTATTTATTTCTTATGCATTTTATTGCCGAAATGTAACAAAAACAAAGATCTATTCCATTTATGTCACCATATTGGATAATTAAATTTAAAAAAAAAAGACAGATATAGTTAATCCTCGATTACCTGGCTGAATTGGGCCACGCTCCAGCCGTCTATGGATCCGGAACGGAAGTCCATAGCCAGCAGCCCTCGCAGCTTCATTTTGTAGCTATATAGCGATCTATAAGGCTCCCTTCATTATCTCCTCCCCGTCACATATCCTAACTATTGGCATCTAATTTTTCGTCTGGGTTTTGTTTTTCTTTTGTTTTTTTTTTTAAAAGTTAAAATTTAACTAAAATATTTTTCTTAAGTCCATTGGTGAGATAACCTATAGATAGAACAACTGTTATTAACAAATGTGTTTTTTTTTTTTTAATGTACATTGTAACATCGATAGTGGAAGAGTGGTTATCAAATGAATGAAAGAGGTTATCCCAACACTTGGTAGAAGAAATAATTGTAAATATTTTGCCGACAAACGACATTTAAATCTACATAAGAATAAAGTCGAAGAATTCATATAAAGTATTATATCGTTGCAATACAATATACATACTATAACGGGTTCACCACAGAACATTATGTAGATATTTTCTTGTACTAAAATCGATCTTGAAGTGTCATTGTTAGGTCATTATTATGTTCAGTCATTGTTACAAGTCTAGGGCCGTATTGATATTTACAATATTGCACGATACCTTAGATTCATAAAATAAATATTTTAAAATTATTAATAATAAATAAATAATTAATGGAAGTAATCATGGAGCAGATAGGTTAAGAGGTACTTCCCCTTTCCCTAGTCCATGATGTCGGTCGGTTTCAAGATCACCTAGAGCACGCTACTTCTAGCTTCCCGAAAATGCACGAATGTGTCCGAAAGAAGACGGAGCCTACCGATACCCAAATCTAGATTTTAAATTTACTATCTACTTAGATAATAATTGTTAAAATATTAAAAAATTATAATTTATAGGATAAATAAATAAATAAGATAAAACTGGTAAAGAAATAAATTAAAAATTTTTAAGGGGAGGGAAGGACAATGACGTCATTGAAGGGGGGCGCCGAATGCCTAAATCGGCATTGCCTAAACTAAGCAACTCATTTAATCAAGACAGCTATGTCGGATGTAAACGGGGTTGTCAATACTCGGCCACCTTCGGCATTCATCGGGAAACCGGTCGCCATCTTGCAGTAGCGAAAGGGGACTAGTATTAAAGATAAGAAAGAATCTTCATGGCTACAAAAACAGCACAATAATGGATCAATCAAATTGTACATATTTTCTCAGTGCAACTGAGTAAGTAGTGTTTGGTATACATAAAAAAATGAGTCTATTCTATGTAAATGTATAAATCCATGAGAACAGCCAAAGAGACCTCATCATTCGTAAATTGCAAACAAATTGGAACGAATCGGATTTCACACGATCGTTTTCCCAATGGACATCATTTCCTTCCATTCATTCTCTTCATGTTTGGATAGTTCACAAATTGTCTTTTGATGCAGTGCAAATTATTAGACATCGTTGGTGTATTTATGTATTGTATTATTAATATTACATAAGGTATCAGTTCGAAATGTTCCATGAATCCTTTCAAACACGACAGCCACTTGTCTCCACTTTTCCCAAAGAAATCATTCATTAACCTGAACTAAAATTAATCTATCCAAGGAATTGCTTTATAAGATTTATTCTTTAGTCCGTGGTAGAGCCCTCTTCTCTTTTTATCAAATTATTAACACTTGCCTAATATTTCTTGTGCCCTCCATCCCCAAAATGTCTAAATAACGAGGTCAAATATACTAAACGGACCAATATTTCTGTAGATCAAATTTTCTCGATTTTGTGATCAAATTATCTTACGATTCAAGTTAAAAGCAAATGGCATTCATGTGTTTTTCATAGCTCATTAAGATGTTTATCGATCTTCAGATTTAAAAACGTCCCATTTCTGTGAATTATCTTAAATAAATAGTTGTAACGTTGCGATAGAATGAATTCACTCTTGAGCTTTTAAATGAATATTAATAATTTGATAAAAGAATGTCTGCACCTCTAGTCTATTTGTGATTCCAAGACATACAGATATATCTCGCTACTGTACGAGATAAACTGACTATATCGTTCTCTCCGATGAATATATATATATATAGATAGGATTGTACGTATTTCCTATCTATATGGACGTGAAAATATGTACAATTCTATCTCGATATGATTTCGTTAAGGTATATTGCGTGTCAGGAATAGGCATTTTAAACAATAATAAACGATTTATTGATAGAAATTGGTGTGATAATCGATTCTAGTTATAACAGAATGCCAACCCCCGAGGATATCAATATATAAAATTAAAGAGAATGTCACGGAACTTTATGTCACAAATCCATCCAATTACTTTCCACTATATTCAATTGTCATCTATTATCAGTCGAAATTGATCAATATAATGATTGAAACGCTTACTATTGTATAGAAGCAAAAGCCTATAATTTAGAATAGGACATTCTTATCGGCAGGCTTGTCTACATTTGCGTAATACCAGTAAAAATTATTCAAATTTTATCTTTCTGTTAACGAAAAATACATTGCATCACAAAATACAACCCTGAAAAATATTAACAGAAAAAAAATGTAAAAAATGGCGTTGTATCCACTGTTTACGCTTAAAAGTTCCCCACAGTTATCTTATCCTAAAAGATTTAATTATTTTAATATTGAGTAACTCTGATAACTCCGTATATAAACAGCTGTTAAATAAATAAGAAAATGTGACTTTAAAAATAATATAATTACAACTCTAGAACTTTTAATAGCTAATTAAATCATAACAATAAGATGATGAAAATCGATGAGGTGCGAAATGAATCATTCATTTATATAAAACTAGAGTTACAAAATTTCTCGAAAGAGGCAATTATACAGATATGAATAAGTAGGTGAGGTGTCGCGTTCAAATAACCTTTTAAACAACATGTATAACCACTATAAAAATTTAAGATATTGTAAAAAACAGTATGCTTTATCTATTAAAAAAAAAAACGCTGCAAATCATTTCACAACGGTTTATTATTCCAAAACAATTAATACATCTGAAGTAACATTACCTTTCTACTGACAAAGAAAAAGAAATAAAAGATGGTTGCAATTATTGGAATAAACTTTTTTTTTAATCATTAGTAATTTGCTAAAAAAAAAAAAGCATTACTTCAGTAACACATTCAAAAATGAAAAACCAAAACAAAGGATATAACCTTTGCAGTCGAACATATAAAAAAAATCAAGAGACCATATCTTTGCTCTGATTGTCCGATTTTAAAGATTTCTTAAAGATTTAAAGATTTTTTTTTTGAGGGGGGAGGGGAATTTCCTAAACTTTTAAATAACCATATACAATACCAACAAAAAAGTGTATACTTTTTTTCCAGCTTCTTTCGTTGAATTATGTTATGTAGATAAATTTAAAGGGCATCGAGAAAAATACTCTAGCCAAGTTCCATTGAAATCGGTACATTCGTTTAGGCTCTACAGGCTATATCAACCCAGGTTTTTCGGCCGCCATCTTGAAAAGAAAAGGCGGGTAGTAATGACGATGAAGGAGGATCATCCTCGGGTGACCTCGGATTTTAAATCCAAATTTGAGCAAAATCGGTCCAGTAGTTTCAGAGAAAATGCGTGGACGGCGAACGGATAATATTTTTTTAAAATCGTTTTCGAATTCTATGTATCCTGAAACCTAAAACCTCAAATTTTGAGAAGGGGTCAAGTTTTTGAATATTTTGTTCGATTACAATGGTTCAGTATTGAAAATAATAAAACAAAATTATATAACGCTCGAAGCGTTTTTATTGTTTTAAAGCATTGTATTTCTCACGTATTTGACCATGAGAAATGATTTGAGCTCTGAGTTCATGGAACGATGTTATAACACAACTTATGCAACAAAATAGCAGCTTTTTTTTTTAAATACATATTTCTTTTTTGAATTATACAATATACAATATGCAGTTGAATTACATACCAAAACTATATAAGTCATTCAAAATGGGCCTTTATTAATAGTTGGAGAGAAAAGTCTTTCTCGGAGTTATCTCGCCTGATTGTAAATAGTGTACATAGATAGATTTGTCAGTGTGTTAGTTTTTTTTTTTTTAATTTATTTATTGTATATACTTTTTGATTAATACTCGTTTTTCTTCAGTTTATTTTATATTTTTATGTATATATAGTGTGAATATGGCCTTATCTACCGCCGTATAACTACTGTCCATTTGATAGAATGCTATATTATATATAATTATTATTATATTACTCAATAAATTTTTTTTTTTAATTCACTCAATATGTTTTTGACTATACCTAAATGTTTAGCGGTAAAAAAATTATAATTAAAAATACAAGAAGTGAAAAAATTAAGCAGCGATTCAAATTTACAACCATTTCAGGTAAGGAATTCAAAAACTACCATTTTTGCACAACACATATTTTTGAACAATTGACTACCCATACCTGTGTAATAAATAAAATTTGTTTTTAATTGACTTACATCTAGTTTTATTTATTTTTAAATAATTACTTTTATCATTTTATTAAGTGCATTTTATACTGTTACCGTGCGTTGCTAAGCAACTAAATGATATATTTTTCATTAATCAGCTGATTGGAATTAATCTGCAAATTTGTTAGATTCTGTCTGAGATCATTCTAAAACAATAACAAAATATTATATTTTAATAATTTGGCTATCTATGAAGGTTGTGTGTACTTGTGGAACCCAGTCCTTCTTGTACCATGAATATTTCTGTTATGGTTGCAATCTCTGTGCAAAATCCAATGATATAGATAATTTCTCATTGCGTCCTAGATATATTTGAGACACAATAACCACATATTTATTATTTTCGTAAGCTTAATCGAATACAGTCCAAACAAAATTTCGAAAATCCTTGTTAGTTGTGGGGTGAAAATGCTATTTTATGCTAAAATTATCAATAAACTTCAAATCAATTAATTCAATAGTTTTTTTAATTTTCAGATCCAATTTGACTATTTTTACTTATTCCAGAGAAGTATTAGATCAAAATGGAGTTTTCGAAATTCTAATTTCATTTGCAAAATCCATTTTGATCTGTAATAAAAAATGGACGAAGTG